AATTGCCATTGAACCCAGAGAAGGCGAGTGAACTAGCTTACAGGGTCTAGGCTTCAGCCCTAGTTCACCCAAGTAATTCTGGTCCCGCGAGGCCATCTCCCACCTCAACACGGAGGTATGGCCCCACGCCAAAATCATAGTTAGATGCCTCGTTCGCCCCTCTACAAGGCTGCAGTCAGGGTCTCACTTTTCACAGCCACACGTTTGAATCTCTTAAACAGTCATCGAGAGACCAACATTCCGCCACCACATCTGTGGCAACAAACTTCCCTCGGCCAAATCATAGATAGAGCCTCTCACCGCCACTCGGCACTAGCAGGGCCTCACTTGTCACTAGTTCACAGTTAAGTTTTTTGCTTCGGCACTAGCCTTACAGTTCAGTTCACTTAAGGAACCCCCCCTCATACCCCGCTCTGTTCCCTCCTTCACCCCTACTAAATCTAATTCACCAATTCATTTCTAGAATGTCTCAAGAACCAGCCCCCACCGACGAGTTGTCTGCCGAAGAGATCCCGTTCACTCCCATCAGACCCGAGTCTCCAGGCGAATCTCTCACCCCATCTACTCCTACGTCCTTGAGAGCATGGACTATTCCTAAAATTACGGACGAACTTAGGTTCAGGGGCATCCCCTTTCCAGCTACGGCTAGAAAGGCGGAACTTTATAGACTTTTGACCAATCAGGCCCCCGAGCCTAGGCCAGGCACTAGCTCTCAAGGACAGCCATCAGTCGCTTGCACAGCCACTCAGGACACCCTTGCAGCAATCCTGGCCAACGTGCAGACCCCAAACAACAGGTTATCTAAGGTGGAGAGTGCCATCACCTCCCCAGGTAACCTCCCTGGCCTCTCAGCCCCCACCCCAGCAGTCTCTGCTACAACACCACACTCCCCTATACATCCCCCTCCAGCACCAGCCACAGTTACGTCACCTTTTGTGTCACCAGCGCACTCCGTCCCAGACTCCATTAGGAAAGAAATCCTAGACGGGAAGGATGTGTGTCTGGTGTCACTTAAGATGTGCTGGAGAACCAGGCATATAACTACGGGGATCTCTCAGTGGTGCTTAAAACCAGAGATTCTAGGCTTAATAAAAAATGATCAATACCGCAGTTCGTAATAGCCTTCGGGATATACCGTGACGTCATTTGCTCGGTATATCCCCACAGAAGAGAGGAACTAGACCTTTATCTTCACAAAGTGGTGGATTTTGGCATTAAGTACAGAGGCTCATCTTTTTATAATTACCATAAATCAGTATCAGCGAAGGCGGCGATCAATCTGAAGCAGTTTAATATTACAGGGAGTGCAGAATTATTAGGCAAATTAGTATTTTGACCACATCATCCTCTTTATGCATGTTGTCTTACTCCAAGCTGTATAGGCTCGAAAGCCTACTACCAATTAAGCATATTAGGTGATGTGCATCTCTGTAATGAGAAGGGGTGTGGTCTAATGACATCAACACCCTATATCAGGTGTGCATAATTATTAGGCAACTTCCTTTCCTTTGGCAAAATGGGTCAAAGAAGGACTTGACAGGCTCAGAAAAGTCAAAAATAGTGAGATATCTTGCAGAGGGATGCAGCACTCTTAAAATTGCAAAGCTTCTGAAGCGTGATCATCGAACAATCAAGCGTTTCATTCAAAATAGTCAACAGGGTCGCAAGAAGCGTGTGGAAAAACCAAGGCGCAAAATAACTGCCCATGAACTGAGAAAAGTCAAGCGTGCAGCTGCCACGATGCCACTTGCCACCAGTTTGGCCATATTTCAGAGCTGCAACATCAATGGAGTGCCCAAAAGCACAAGGTGTGCAATACTCAGAGACATGGCCAAGGTAAGAAAGGCTGAAAGACGACCACCACTGAACAAGACACACAAGCTGAAACGTCAAGACTGGGCCAAGAAATATCTCAAGACTGATTTTTCTAAGGTTTTATGGACTGATGAAATGAGAGTGAGTCTTGATGGGCCAGATGGATGGGCCCGTGGCTGGATTGGTAAAGGGCAGAGAGCTCCAGTCCGACTCAGACGCCAGCAAGGTGGAGGTGGAGTACTGGTTTGGGCTGGTATCATCAAAGATGAGCTTGTGGGGCCTTTTCGGGTTGAGGATGGAGTCAAGCTCAACTCCCAGTCCTACTGCCAGTTCCTGGAAGACACCTTCTTCAAGCAGTGGTACAGGAAGAAGTCTGCATCCTTCAAGAAAAACATGATTTTCATGCAGGACAATGCTCCATCACACGCGTCCAAGTACTCCACAGCGTGGCTGGCAAGAAAGGGTATAAAAGAAGAAAATCTAATGACATGGCCTCCTTGTTCACCTGATCTGAACCCCATTGAGAACATGTGGTCCATCATCAAATGTGAGATTTACAAGGAGGGAAAACAGTACACCTCTCTGAACAGTGTCTGGGAGGCTGTGGTTGCTGCTGCACGCAATGTTGATGGTGAACAGATCAAAACACTGACAGAATCCATGGATGGCAGGCTTTTGAGTGTCCTTGCAAAGAAAGGTGGCTATATTGGTCACTGATTTGTTTTTGTTTTGTTTTTGAATGTCAGAAATGTATATTTGTGAATGTTGAGATGTTATATTGGTTTCACTGGTAATAATAAATAATTGAAATGGGTATATATTTGTTTTTTGTTAAGTTGCCTAATAATTATGCACAGTAATAGTCACCTGCACACACAGATATCCCCCTAACATAGCTAAAACTAAAAACAAACTAAAAACTACTTCCAAAAATATTCAGCTTTGATATTAATGAGTTTTTTGGGTTCATTGAGAACATGGTTGTTGTTCAATAATAAAATTAATCCTCAAAAATACAACTTGCCTAATAATTCTGCACTCCCTGTAGAATTAACTGGTGTCAGATGGATACTGAATTATTCTGTCGCCACTTTGCTGGTCTGAGGCCCCCGTCTTGTGCCGTATGTAATTACACATCCCATACGGATGATTTGTGCCCCTCTGACGCTGATCCATCCACCTCCACTCCCACCCCTCAAACCACTTTCACCCCTCACATTAAACAAGCGGGTGGTCAACAGGATAAACTGGGTAGACCCATCTCCTTCTTAGGCAAAGCGCAGGCGTGCAACAATTTTAATGCCGGTTCCTGCAGCTTCAGCGCCTGTAGGTTGTTGCACATCTGCTCTATCTGCTTCAGGGCACACATAAAGACCATGTGCCCGGCCAGGTTGTCCCCTAACAAATGACTAACCGACATTAATGTCGACAACCTGTTTTTTTATTTGAGACCTCATCCAAGTAGGCATTTGGTGGAGTATTTGACCATGGGTTTCACACAGGGTTTTCTCATGGGTCTCGTAGCCATCCCCTCAGGCACGCTTGAATGTCCCAACCTCTTGTCAGCCTGCCAAGACCCAGTATCCACAGACACTCTCCTTTCCTCTGAAATCTCACACGGTTTCATGATCGGCCCCTTCACCTCCTCACCTTTTTCCTCCTGGCGCACTAATCCCATTGGTATAGCTGTGAACAAATATTTTAATAAAAAACGTCTAATTATCGATTTTTAGGCACCGCATGCCTCTTTTGTTCCCAGCATTAACTCACTCATACCCGCAGTACGTTAAAATTGACGATACAATACAATCCATAATTTAAACTGGTAGAAACGCTTGGTTAAGCAAAACGCACATAACAAAGCATTCAAATTACTACCCATGCACCCATCACGGTGTTAAATGGCGAGACAGATACTAATTTTCCACACATCTCACTTTCGGGTCTAGAAGCAGCCCCAAACTGTTTGATATATTCGCAGAAACACTATGCTGGCTGCTTCTAAACGTTCTCAGGTGTCACTCAGTCATTCACTATTTGGACAACTTCTTACTGATAGAACCAGGCGCACGTACACCCACTAATATCCTCAGCACCTCAGCACTTTTTTCCACACTCGGGGTACCCTTATCACCCTCCAAAACCATCGGCCCCACTAATAAACTAACCTTCTTGGGGATCGAGCTGGACTCTGGTACCTTCCGAGCCAGCCTTCCCCCCCGACAAATTGGTCCGCTTGAGAGGAGAGATAGACATGTTCCTGCTGAGTGATGCATGCACCAGAATGGAACTTCAGTCCCTGTTGGGGTCCCTAAATTTTGCCATGTGCATCATTCCACAGGGTAGGTCATTCGTATCCAGGCTTCTCTGTCTGCTTCACGGTGTACCAGACTCCTGCCCAATTTCTTTGGACTAGCACGCCAAGGCTGACCTACTCATGTGGGGGAAGTTTTAGGTTGAGTGGAACGGTATCTCCATGTTTAATCCCCCCTCTCTCCGACTCCTCACCCATCATTCACACAGACGCTGCAGCCAACACAGTTTTCGCAGCTGTCTTTGGTAATCACTGGTTCAGGGGTCACTGGCCTGCTGAGACGGATGCCTGGCCAGGATTCAGGGAGACCTCAGCCCTATTTGAAATTTACCCCATAGTGGCAGCCGCACACACTTGGGGTTATCTCTGGTCCGGCAAGGCAGTAAAATGCTATTCCGACAACTCGGCAGCTTGCGATATCATAAACAAGGGGCGCTTATCCTCCCTTACAATCATGCGGCTGATTCGCAAGCTGACCTGGCTGGCAGCAACCGCCCAGTTCCACTTGGTCTGTTTTCACATCCCGGGTATACACAACACGGCTGTTGACGCTCTATCTCGCTCTCAATTCCAGGTATTCTTCCTGGCACTCCCTACGGCCCACCGTGAGCCATCCAAGACACTGCGGTTTCACGAACTAATCCTGGATTGAACACACTAATGCACCACGCTAGGTCTCTCACACACCAAGCACTATCACCTAGCACAGCTGTCACCTACAGTAGGGCACTTAGCATTTTTAATAAATTCACAGCAGATTTCGGATTACCAGGTGATATTTCTACTCAAACTATGGTGGCTTTTGCCTCCTTCTGCCACTTACATTTAAAACTTTCTCACAATGCCATTAAACTATACCTCATGGGGGTTCAGCACCACAGTCTCACTAATTTCCCTAACAACACCCCCTTTTTGTCATCATACCCCATCAAGAAAGTCTTAAAGGGTATCTCAAAGGTTTCTGTTCCACTTACCACCACCAGACTACCAATAGATGGGCCTATGTTTAGATTACTCAGCAATCTACTTGATGAATCCCCATTCAATCCCAACAAAAACCTGGTGATCAAGTCTGCAATTTATCTAGCTTTTTTCGGTTTCCTCGGAACCAGAGAATTCACCGTTGTTTGTCAAGGGGATATCACAAACAGCCTAAAAACCTCACACCTCACTAAGGTAGAAGATCACTACGTACTTACACTCCCATCTACCAAAACTAATCACTCACTACACCCCACTATTATTCCCCTCTTTCCCACTGATGATGCTTGGTGTCCGGTTAAGGCGCTAGACCACCTATGGACAACTCATCACACGCACTTACCAGACTCTCCGCTCTTATTACTACAAGGGCACCCACTCACCACTGCTAAATTCCCGACGCAAAACTTACTTACTGGCAAAACTGGGTTACAACCCAGCTTCATTCTCTGGTCACTCCTTCTGCATAGGAGCCGCTTCATCAGCCTCTAGTACAAATCCTCCATATACCATACGTACATAGCACGACCAGAAAGAGAGCTTCGCCAAGCCTTCAGGAATTCGGTTATGTACTAAATGCAATAAAGTGTGCTTTCCTTGAACTTCTCTTTGCCCTCTTTTATTTACAGGCCCACTCATACGTTGGTTTTTGGCACACCACAAACTTTCATCTCAGACGCCATCCATTACGTATTAAATTCCGAGCACAAGTAGAAATGCCATTAGACCTGAATTTGTGGGAGGAGTAAGTCCCCTACTTAAACTCCCAGTCCCTAATTACCTCTGTCTTTCAAGTTGATTGTCCCCACCCACCTTCACCCTTATAGCATTGCAACTCTCCTTGGTGGGCCCTCTTTTATTTGCAGGCCCACTCGTACGTTGGTTTTCGGCACACCACAACCAACTTTCATCTCAGACACTATCCATTACATATAAAAATTTCAAGCACAAATATATATACATACACACATATACACATAAATACACATACATAGTCTAATTGTATTTTAATATTAATATATATATATATAATTATATATATATATATATATTTTAATATCAAAGTACACGTACAATGATATTGATTAAATATATATATAATTATCATTAATACTTTTTGTATTGTGACACCATGTCTAAATTAAATGATGATATCGAGAGAGGTATGTAAACTTGTAAACAAAAGAGAAAGGGAAAAGAGAAAGAGAGAGAGAGAGAGATAGAGAGAGAAAACATAAAACACCCGTCCTTTCAATAAAAATTTCCCAAGTAGGAAAACCCAACCCCCATCCACTGGGACCCATGACTTAAGTGCAATAAACTCTGTATATTTACAAAAAGTCTTTGGACACTCTTGAAATATACTAAATATTCTTTATATATTCCCCTCCACAAGCTAATTCCTCTTGTCAAGGTTTTTTTTTTTGCCTTTCTTCTTTCCTTTCCTTTCTTCCCAACTGACCTGATGTTTCACAAATTGTCTAGCATTTAGGAACAGATAAGGGAAAGAGAGAGGTCGGCAGTTTTGGGCGGGGCATGTGCAGCAAATTACAGAGCTGTGCCAATAAAATGCTGCTCTAAGCGCAGCATTTGATTGAGAACTGAATTTGACTCAGTTCTCAAAAGGAAGCACCTCTAGTGGCTGTCTAGAAGGCAAGAAAACATTGCTGCATCTACTAAATGACAATATTTTAGACCTCATTGCTAACACTAAAGGACTACTGCAGTCCACCTTAGGATTTGATAAAACAGTATTTGTTTGTCAGAATATTAATCAAAATTCCAGTATTTGTGAGACACATCACAAGTTTTGCCCAGAAGAGTATAAATCACTAAACTCCTTTACGGGGACACTCCACTGCCCTAATAAAATAAATAAAAATCACTTTTTAGTAGCTTTACCCCAAATGAAAACTTGTACCCTGTATGCATTTAATTATGCATTTTATGGGGTATATCTAAAAACAGCTTGCAAAAGCTGCAGATCTCTTGTATCCTGCCTTTGCAAGCTCTCCCCTTCTAACCCTGCACAGACTTTCTGCAGCTGTCCAATCACAAGTTTCCCAATGCAGCTCAATGAGAAGTCTTTGCAGGCAGGTGCTTTGGGCAGTTGTTGCCTCTTGAGTTCAGTGCAACTAAGCTAACATAACTAGGAATAATAGGACCTGTTGTCTGCTTGAAAAGCCAAGGGGTGTAACCAGTATAATTTATAAAAGTGCAAATTTCTATTGAAATCAGCACTTTTTCCAAAATAAAAAAAGAAGACACACTCTTTACATATAATGTTTTTCAGCAAGCTAAAGTGTTTTAGGGATCTGGAGTGTCCCTTTAACCTGAAACTTGCCTTGTGAGAGTAACAATGCATGCAGTAAAATTGACAGTTACAATTTATCTGAAAATACAGCTTAGAATAAAATTATAGAAAGTGCACCAAATACTTCTTCTATGGTCTGTGAAAAAAGAAACGTCAGTCTTACTCAGCTTCCTCCGATTAAAGGACCACTATAGTGCCAGGAAAACATACTCGTTTTCCTGGCACTATAGTGCCCTGAGGGTGCCCCCACCCTCAGGGTCCCCCACCCGCCCGGCTCTGGAAGGGGGAAAGGGGTAAAAACTTACCTTTTTCCAGCGCTGGGCGGGGAGCTCTCCTCCTTCCTCCTCCCCCCGCCGGGCTGAATGCGCACGCGCGGCAAGAGCTGCGCGCGCATTCAGCCGTCTCATAGGAAAGCATTTACAATGCTTTCCTATGGACGCTGCGTGCTCTCACTGTGAAAATCACAGTGAGAAGCACGCAAGCGCCTCTAGTGGCTGTCAATGAGACAGCCACTAGAGGATTAGGGGGAAGGCTTAACCCATTCATAATTATAGCAGTTTCTCTGAAACTGCTATAATTATGAAAAAATGGGTTAACCCTAGAAGGACCTGGCACCCAGACCACTTCATTAAGCTGAAGTGGTCTGGGTGCCTAGAGTGGTCCTTTAAGTCAGAACATCTGCCTTTGCTTGTCTACTAGCAAATGGATGAATTTTGTCTTGGCAGTATACTTTCTCAATGGATAGCTAAGTGCATTGTGATTACGTATTTGTACAATTTCAAATGTAAAAAAAAAAAAAAAAAAAACAAAGCACAATATCACTGTGAATTCATATGAGTGATACAATGTCACAAAATTCAATCATATGTAACCAACTAAAATTATTGTGTATAAGACTTCAAAAGGATTAAGATACAAAATTATGTATTAACGTATTGTTCACCTCTTTAATTTTAATTGCAATTAGTTTTGCCAAAAGATATCAAATGGCGACTCCAACCTGTTTAAGTGAACTTTATTTGGCTTATAGTACAAATAATACAAAACATACACCCAGTGCATACTAAACAAATACTTATTAATATTGTGAGTAGTCTCCAATAATAAGATGGCCACTAAACAACAGTATCCAGAACAAAAAATGGGTATATCAACAACTAGACAGAAGAAATACACTTAGTGCAATCCAGCTTCAATCCAGCTCCAACTTAAAGGGAAACTCCAGTGCCAGGAAAACAATCCCTCCCAACTCCCATCCCCGGTAAAAACCCCTTCAGTAACTTACCAAAGGCAGCGACATGTCCCAAGTCACTGCTTCTTCCTCCGCCGCCGCTCCTTCTCTGTATTACATCGGCCGGTGGGCGAGACTGATCCAGCCCACCAGCCGGGGAGACCTAAAGTGCGTGCGCGGCATTAGAGTTTCCCATAGGAAAGCATTGAAAATGCTTTCCTATGGGGAATTGAGCGACACAGCGTGAGGACATCCAGCTACGTTCTAGCACAGAAAACCTGTGCTGTGATACAGGAAGTGCCCTCTAGTGGCTGTCTAGTAGATAGCCACTAGAAGTGGAGAACCCTGCAAGGTAATTATTTCAGGGTTAAGAGTAGTGGGAGTTGGCACCCAGACAACTCCAATGGGCAGAAGTGGTCTGGGTGCCTGGAGTGTCCCTTTAAGCGCCTGGGCGCTACACCAACCCCCTTTTTTTATTGACTGTGATTGTACTGGACAAGAAGGATTTGGGTGTTAGGCAGCCTCATTGATGTACATCAGTACTTTACAAGCACTGAATTGCCTTAATTTTTTTACTTTAATAATATGTTTCATGTAAGCTGTACGCATATGCCGAGTTGTTTCTCCTTGGTAATTGGTTATGTTGCTGGTTTTTATTCAGGTGATTACGAACACCTATTTACTTTTAGAATTTTAAGCATGAAATACTGCACTACATTATTTTATTCTGTTTTACTTCTATATCTACAAGAATACCCACTACTACAAGGATTGCCTGCTGTACAAGTGCTACATTCCACCCAGGTGATTAAGTTGGAGCTGAATTAAAGCTCCATAAAAGTGTGAGTGCACATTTATTAATTCAGGACAGCTTTTCAAGCACACTGCCCATCGGTAAGGATGTCTGAGAGCATTCGTTGCTCTCACACCTGCAGTGCTGCTGAAAGCAGGGCTGAAGCTCAGCTACCTCCATACAAAGGGAGGGAGTGACTCCTAAACCCTTTCTCAGCTTCACACTTTTCACAACCAAACCTGAGATTCGCACATGCACATGTATGACTTTATCAAGATATTTTTTTGTGGCAAGGCAAACAACCTTTCACAAAAAAATTAATTAGAGGAAGTTAAAGAGGGGCTTAAACAACAAACAGAAACAAAGCTTGCCAACAACAGCAGGACACCTTTGAACAAATCCAGAAGGCTGAAATCAGTACTGTCCTGCTAAACCCGGGACAATTGGGAGGTCTAGGTGGAGCTTGCTTCCTAGGGTGTCACCTGAGTTATCAGTGACCCAATTCACATCATACATTCCACCCAATATTGAGAGGTATGCAGATCAGGATGAGTGGGTGGCCCTGAGAGGGGGCACCCAGGCTGTGCTGCAAAAGACAGTTCCTTTGTGTCATTGGATGCGGAAAACCAGTGAACTTGTAACCATGGAAGTGTGCAGAAGCCAAACACAGAGAGACGGACACAGGTATTCGGGAAGTAAGAGGCCTTTATTTACGTACCGATCGAGTCTCAGATGGATTAACGTTCCACAACAGATCTGAGCCCAGAACACATAGAGTACATTCCTTATATAGCAATATAGCTCCTCCCATAAATGGCTACACCCACACATACCCTTAACCAATCAATGAACAGAGTCTGGACTTGCTCATCCGAAACAAAGGAGAAAGGACTATGATTTCAGTTCCTACACATGCTCAGTACATTGATAACAGTATCTTAGCTACGTGTAACTAACCGATACTACAAACACATGTACCTGCATATGCCACGTGGCTATCTTGGCATACTAAACTTCTATTTTACAGGAATTCCATCACAAACTAAATTTGGACGGAGGGGCAGAACTACAAAATCAGAACTGTTGGAGGGGCTGCAACAAAAACAGAGTATATGAGAATGGACAAGAGCTTTAGAGAAACTCAATAACTTGCCATTCGGAAAATCCATCTCAAAATAGTTATTGCTCAATTGTGCCATTACAGAGAGTACCAGTTCCAAAGCATGTCAGACAGTGCCCACACACAAGGGCAATCCAGAAGCAAAGTACCGTCAAGTTCTCTCTGCACACGAGACACAGCAACCCCGGACGATCGTATCCGTGTTCTTTGGGCCTCGTCAGCGATGTGTAGCCAACACCTCTCCAGGCACAGTGAGCGCACACTGCCCACGTCTGGATTACACTTTTAACTTGGGGAGAGCCAACTTAATGCTTTGCAACAAAAACAAAGACTATGAGAATGAGAACTCCAAGAATGGACAAAGTCTTAGAGAAACCCAATGGCTTGCCCTTCAGTAAGTCCCTGTTTAGGTCTCAAAATAGTTGTTGGAGGAGCTACACTGCACCCTATAGGCCAACCTGTGGCTAATCCTGATTCCATACCTCCTAATGGTGTGTGGTATGCAAAGAATATACACAATTTAGGCTACAATAACCAAGCTGTGACTGTACATAAAATGGAGTATCCCCCTCTGCCTCTCATGGGGTTTATTCACCAAGTGGGGATTAGAGTGAATGAGTGGGCGGGGCATAATCATAACATAAAGCTGTAAATAAAGGTCTATCTCGGATTTACTAATTATATACCATACAGGGCCTTATGGAATGAAGCATTGTAAACTGAGTTTTGAATTCCCCGCAAATCACTGTTTGGTAAATAAGTCCTCTTTATCACGTGACCAATATAAGGGTAGAACTAAAAGTGTAGACGGAGGGGAGGGGGGGTTGAGATCCTGCAGTAGCTACTCAATTACATGTGTGTATACTGTATTCTAATAAAATGTGTCACCAAACCATTAACAATCACATGCGCCTTTATGTTCATAGCGGCCTCACATGCCGACAGGTGCCCGTTAAACTCTATTCCAGTTTCAGACCCCCATGCCAACGAATTGGTTTCTCCCAAACGATAGCGCGCCGTTTCCGTGCGCTCGTGTGGCTGATGTTTTGAGACTGCACTAGCCCCGCCCACTGGCGGAGACAGTCACGCCCACTCCCCTCCCTGTTACGCCTCCCTGGCTCTTTTCCCTGCCTGCTGTCTGCTAGAGCCCCGCCCCTCGGCGCTTTCCGCTTTACCTTTCTGTTTGCCTCTGGGACCACCCCCTGTGCTCCAAGGCCCCTCCCACACCCGGCCTCACCGTGTCTCTGTGTGCGGGTCTGTATGCGCGTTCCGCCGGAGCGAGCGGGAAATTCCCGTTGATTACCGAGAGACATACTCTTCCAAATCGCGGCCTGTACCGGCTGTGTGAGCCCCGGCTGCCCGTGCACACTGGGCTGGTGTTTGGCTATTGCCCGCTCAGGCCGGCCAGTTTGCCAGTGAGTCGGTGTGTGCAGAGTCCATGGCGTACAGTCAGGGGGGCGGCAAGAAGAAGGTCTGCTACTACTATGATGGTAAGAAGGAGGCACGGCACCGGGGGCGTGTACCGGCCGCTTCCAGCCAGGGCCGCACTCCCTGCATTTCATGGGTTACAGTCCGCCAGGGGACACTGTGCTAGTGGGGGGACATCCAACTGAGATATGGGGGGGGGGGTCTAGCTTGGGGCTCAATTCTGGGGGTTAGTCGGGGAGGGGGTTAGTCTGGCTCAAGACTCTGGGGAGGGTTGTCTAGCCTCAGGGGAGTCTGGGGTTCAGTCTAGTTTGGGGCCTCTAAGAGGGGTTCAGTCTAGTTTGGGGCTCCCAAAGGGGATCAGTCTAGTTTGGGGCTCAAGGGGAGTCAGCCTAGTTTGGGGCACTAAGGGGGTCAGCCTAGTTTGGGGCCCTAAGAGGGGATTCAGTCTAGTTTGGGGCCCCAAGGGGGGATCTTTGGGCTGGGGGATCAGGTTTGGGGGGGGGGATAAGTTTGGGGCTCCTTGGGGGGCCCTGGGGGGATCAGTCTAGTTTGGGGCTCTCAGTCTAATCAGTCTAGTTTGGGGGCTCTAAGGGGGGATCAGTCTAGTTTGGGGCTCTAAGAGGGGGTTCAGTCTAGTTTGGGGCTCAAGAGGGGGGTTCAGTCTAGTTTGGGGCTCTAAGAGGGGTTCAGTCTAGTTTGGGGCTCTAAGAGGGGTTCAGTCTAGTTTGGGCTCTAAGGGGGGTTCAGTCTATAGGGTCTAGTTTGGGGCCCCAAAGGGGGATCAGTCCAGTTTGGGGCTCTAAGGGGAGCCTAGTTTGGGGCACCACTATTTGGGGGCTCTAAGGGGGGGTCACTCTAGTTTGGGAACCTAAGGGGGGTCAGTCTAGTTTTGGCTCTATGGGGGTCGGTCTAGGTTGGGGCTCTAAGGGGGGTTGGTCTAGGGGCCCTGGGAGGGATCAGTCTGGCTTGGGGCTCTATGATTTTAGGGTGTAAAGTCTAGTTGGTGGCTCTATGATTTTGGGGTGTGGAGTGGCAAGTCTAGCCTGGGGCACTACTGAATAGAGCTTTGGGGGTGGGGGGTCTGAGTGTCGGGTAAATACCTACAGTGGCTACCAACAGGCAGTTCATCGGCTGTGGCACAACAGCTGTAAATCGGTTACAATATCATGTTGTAGTTCTGTGTCTGCTGGAGATCTGCTTCCTGGTCACCTCTACTTGAACTATTTTAAGTCAAAGATGCTTTGAAGCAGGTAACTGTAACTCCTACTTCCAAGAAACAATAAGACACCAAAATGCATACAATCGATTAAAGACCTTTAAGTCGTATTAAACTGTGTATTTCATTATATGCATTTTCATAGGGGCTTAATTGAGTACAGCCCCTTATAAACTGCATCTTTGGGACATGTGATGACCATTATCATGGTGATTGTCTGTAGATTACAAGGATGTTTGACCTCTTCAAAATAGAATTGATTTCTCCTTTCAAATAAAATATTGGGCTTCTTTAAAGGACCACTATAGTGCCAGGAAAACATACTCGTTTTCCTGGCACTATAGTGCCCTGAGGGTGCCCCCACCCTCAGGGACCCCCTCCCGCCCGGCTCTGGAAGGGGAAAGGGGTTAAACTTACCTTTTTCCAGTGCTGGAGCTCTCCTCCTTCTCTCCTCCTCCGATCCGCCTCCTCCTGGCTGAATGCGCGCGCATTCAGCCGGTCATATAGGAAAGCATTTATAATGCTTTCCTATGGACGCTGGCGTGCTCTCACTGAAAATCACAGTGAGAAGCACGCAAGCGCCTCTAGTGGCTGTCAATGAGACAGCCACTAGAGGATTAGGGGGAAGGCTTAACCCATTGATAAACATAGCAGTTTCTCTGAAACTGCTATGTTTATTAAAAAAAAATGGGTTAACCCTAGCTGGACCTGGCACCCAGACCACTTCATTAAGCTGAAGTGGTCTGGGTGCCTAGAGTGGTCCTTTAAGATAATCAGAGAAGGATGTTGGACATCCCTTTCATAAACTTCTTATCCTATGCACAGTGAGGTAGCAACCTACTTCGTTACCCCTTCTTATACCCTTTGTGTCCGTATACCCCACTCCCTCTGGCATATAAGCTAATTGAGCAGGGCCCTCAACCCGTGTTCCTGTGCGCCCACTTGTCTGATTGCAACGATGTGTCTGTTAGTCCACCCATTGTACAGCGCTACGGAATTTACTGGTGCTATATAAATAATAACCGTTTGTAACAGTGATCACCAGCACCGTAGATTAATATGAGAACCCTTCTAAGCAGAAAAGTGACCTTTTGTATGTATCAAAACTTTTCTTTTCAAATGAGAGCCTTTGCCCCTCTAGGTGGTGTGTAGGCAAGTATAATAGCTGTGGAAGATGGGCTCCCCACACACAACTGACGGAGTGTCAGTACCTCTTGGGCACCTAATTGGAGAAGCACTGCTGATGACAGTCTCCTCATCTGTGGTCCCTTTTTGAGTCTTTTGGTTTTAGTGCCTTTTAAAAATGTTTATAAGTTTTGTAAGCAATTTTTTTTTTTTCTTGTAACACTTAGTTTTTAGTTTAATTTCATTATACATTAAAAAAATAAAGCAAAGCTTAGAAATTTTAAATATGAAAAAATTCCACACATTCTCATTATTTCCTTAAATCAAACAGTGGTTGCACACTCTTAAAATGTAATCTAATTATTATAATTTAATAAATTGGAGTACAAACTTTAAAATTAATAAAGGAACGCAAACCTTTATTCCGAACACTATAGTGCGCTATCTACAGATTTGTTTTTAGGTCTCGACTTGTTTCAAGCGAAAAAGGGTTTGTTTTTCACTTGCCTTTACTCCAGCAAAGAAACTCTCTCTGCGCAGCCAGCTGCTCTACCTCCCCCATCCAGATTTCTTCCATATTTCTAGCCAATGGCCAATTCTTTGCTCCTCATAGGGTAGCACTGGAGTACCAAGTATGCCTTCACTTTTTTCAATTTCTTTCTATTAAATTAGGGAAGTCTCACTGTTCAGCTGAAGACCACTTGGACTATAAAGTCCATACAATGTAGAGTGTGTCATCTCTATGTATAGCATTATAAATCTTTCATGGCTAATAAAAGGTTTTCCTAGCTTGATATTTTTTTTTTTTTCCTATTCATTTACATAACTCATAAAGCTGATTCATGCCTAAGCCATTTGACAGGAGAAAAAAAAAGTCTAATTTGTTGTCACGGGTGTGTTGTAAAAATGTTTGCCTACATTTTGAGAAAACTACTGTGCTAAAACTAAAGTGTTTACCACCATCACGTGCCAACTTGCTTGTTAAACATGAATTCCACACAGGCCCTTTAGATGCATGATCTTTTGGGACAAATGTTCATTTGGATGTAGTAGCTAAAGCTTATTGGGAAATGCATATTTGCTTATACCCTCTGTTACAGTTGAGATGCTGTTTTTGTAGATGTAAAGACTACCTCCTCCTTTTTTTTCTACATAAACATTTTTTTTTCCACAGTAGTGGTTTGTGGTCTGTATGTATGTGAGATATAGCTTCCTTATTGCTATATTGTGCTTTATTTTTGTATTTTATTTGTGTGTGTGTGTGTGTGTGTGTGTGTGTGTGTGTGTATATGTATGTGTGTGTGTGTGTGTATGTATATATGTGTGTATATATATATATATATATATATATATATATATATATATATATATATATATATATATATATATAGTGTGTGTGTGTGTGTTCCAATGCTTGCACTCCTGTTATAAAGTATATGCCCGGTGCTTATCAGCAAGTTAATATAGAATACAGTAGTTTTAGCTCTATAAGACGCACCTGACAATAAGACGTACCTAATGTTTAGGTACAAGGGGAAAAAAGTGTTCCTTATCACCCACTCTTCTCCCCTGTCCCATAGTGTTCCTGTTCCTGGCCAGACTGAAAGGAAGTGAGCACTCCAGGGACTTAGAAATACGGTGAAAGTGTTTTATTCAGGCATCTGCCACGGTGAATCAACGTTTCAGTTCTCAAATGGAACTTTCATCAGTATACAGTGCAATACAACAGACAGTGTTTAAATAACATGAAAACATAATGAATACATTGTATACAGCCTGTACTCACAACCCCTGGACTGCTTCCAGCTGCATCGTGAAAATCGCGGGTAAATTTGACCCGGTATGGCTAAAACCGCTGGTGCACAGGAGTGTGCTGGAATAGGATGTTTCTGTTCAGTTAGTTGCCATACCAGTTGGAACGGAAGGGGGCGTGTATATCAGGCAGAGCAAGCAGCCGATCGTAGCTATAAAGCTTAATGTTAAATTCTAAATAGAAATGATCGGACTGAACGGGGAAGGTCTCTGTTTGGAAAGTATTAAAGAGAAATGGCCAGAGTCAGTGTAAGGCAGAATATTGCTTAATATGGATGTTAGGCTTATTCTGAGAGTCTCTAGGGAGAAGGTGCAACCTTCAGTATTGTAGTCGGGCTACCACTAATAGACCAAGACCAGGTATAATGATAGAAAATTAATAACGAGATTGAAGTAGGGAGGAACACGTGGTAAGGACTGTGGATAATAACCCCTGATTGTGATGCAGTAGAGGTATTAAGTGCCGCTCTCTCTATATATCAGTACCGAACATACCTGGCAGGATCCTATATGATATATGTATGGGGCTTGTGATCAAGGCGTGGCATATAGCTATTATATACACACCAGATAGAACTATGCTGCATATCAAGATTGATGCATGTGACAAATATAGTACATATGGCAAACTATATGGACATTATTATTATGATATTTACAGAGTGCCGTCAAATTCCGCAGCGCTTTACAATGGGTGGACGAACAGACATGTAGTTGTAACCAGACAAGTTGGACACACAGGAACAGAGGGGTTGAGGGCCCTGCTCAATGAGCTTACATGCTAGAGGGAGTGGGATAAAATGACACAAAAAGGTAAGGGTAGTATTAGACTAGTGACAGTTGCAGAAGAGGAATCAGTCAGGAGCTATTAGCAGTTTAATTGATATGCTTTTATGAAGAAGTGGGTTTTTAACAATTTTTTTGAAGGAGTGGTGAGCATCTAACAGAGGAGGGAAGCGAGTTCCACAGGAACAGTGCAGCCCTCAAGAAATCTTGAAGGCGAGCATCAGAGGTGGGAGTACGGACAGAAGATAGACGTAAGTCTTCAGCAGATTGTAAGGGCCTAGATGGGACATACTTGTGTATTAGGGAGGATAGATAGGTGGAAGTAGCATTATGTAGAGATTTGAAAGCAAGAACCAGAATTTTAAATTGAGCTCTATATTTTATAGGAAGCCAATGTAGGGGACTGACAGAAGGGTGAGGCATGGGAGTGCGGGCGGACAGGAAGATGAGCCTCGCCACCGCATTCATTATAGACTGTAATGGCGCAAGTTGGGAGCACGTAAGACCACTGAAAAGCGGATTACAGTAGTCAAGGCGAGAAAAGACAGTGGAATGGACCAACACCTTAGTCGCATCTGGCGCTAAGTAGGGGCGGATGCACGCAATGGTTTTTTAGATGGAAATGACAGGATTTGGCGATGGATTGAACATGAGGCTTGAAGGAGAGGTCGGAGTCAAAGAGAACACCTAGGCAGCGAGCCTACGTGGTGGAGCTGATGGTAGCACCGTTGACTTGGAGGGAGACAGACACAGGAGTAACAACACTTGAGGGAGGAAAGGCCAGAATATTGCGGAGGATGAGAAGAAGCTGTTGATGATCAACAGTGTCAAAAGCCGCAGACAGGTCAAGGAGAATTAGGATAGCGTAGTGACCACGAGATTTTGCAGTGAGTAGATCATTGGATACTTTGGTCAGTGCCGTTTCCACAGAGTGCTTAGCGCAGAAACCATACTGAAGCGGGTCTAGCAGAGAGTTGGACATGAGACCAACATTGTACATAGAGCAAAACAATAGGAGACTGATACGAGAACACTACTGTTTTGTAGAAAAAAAGATAAAAAGGTTAGAGCTAATAATAAATATGCAGATAAAAATAAATAAAAGGCAGCAGCCCTATAGGGGGTCACCCTCTAACCCTCTACAATAAGAGTATACACAAAAACAAAGAACAAGTAACAGTTGGGCAATAACCACAGTGTGTTAAAACCATATGCATAAGTAATACATTTGTATCATTTTAGTCTTTATAAGAAATACCAAATCAAAAATATCATGTTTAATCTGGTGATTAATATGTATATCAAATACATGATCCGGACAGAGGTAAAGGGAGTACCAATGTAACTCCTGTCATCACTAGTCCGATCAATGGCACAGCATAATGCAAGACAAATGTAAAACATTTATATACAAAAACAATTATGCACAATGAGGTACACAGGTCAAACAGAATGCACATACAATTGCCAGCGAGATTAGCCCGCTCAATCTGTTATTGTATGTATCTAAAGATCACATATCAAGCACAGGGTATATTTGAGGCTTATTGAGCTGATCATAAGCATATAAATATGTATCTCTGTGTGTGTGTGTGTATATATGTGTGTATGTATATATATATATATATATATATATATATATATATATATATTATGTATATGTGTGTGTGTGTGTGTTAATACATTGCTAAACACAAATACACACACCAGTCAAGCCAAAAGACTTGCTTTTCCCACAGAAATCTCACTTTTACAGTGCTCTCACTCCTGCAAGGGATTCTGGGTAGGCGTATGCAGATGAACTCTTTTTTTTCCCCCCACAACTCCTCTTTTGGTGTGTATATATTATAAAATAAAACATTGATCAAATGAAACAGTGTTCATAGTAAGGACTCAATTGATTACTTTCATATATTTTGTTTGAATTTTAAAAGAAAAAACTTTTATTTATTCATTGTGTCAAACAGTTCCTGTTACGGTAACTTAGAATGTGGGGGGTCATCTTTACAAAATGTGTGCATATCAACACACTCAAAAAAATTCAGATGGCGTTGCTTCTTTGCTGAAACTATATAATCTTAATCAGTTTGTGTGTGTGTAGTTTTTATATATTTGTTCATTAAAAAATAAAATAAATAATAAACCTGCTGGATATCTACAGCTTCTATATTTGTGTGCCAAGTGAGAATTTAGGTTTCTCTTTCTTTGTCCTTTTGTAGCTTTTGAGAGATTGGTGAGAGGCCCTACAAGGGTTGATTTTAATATGTGGTTCGAGTTCAGTATTCTGACTTTGTAATCAACACATATATTTGGACGTTTCGACACTGCTTAAATGTTTGTAAGCTACACTAGTGACATAAACATTTGTAGTTTAAAATAACTGTTTTAAATTTTGGTGTAATAGTAATGTGTTTGACATTGGTATTCACTTTTTCTATATTCTGAAGTGTACATTGGAGAATGAGATTGTTTTTTCATGTATGTTATTTAACTGTTAGCATACTTGGATACGGTGACTGATCTTTGATAAGGTGTGTTTTTTTTTTATATTTTGTTTTCTCTTTTTCTCACATTTTCGTTAGGTTCATAATTATTTTGTCCCGGTGGTCTGGAATAGAGCTGTTGTAGATTTCATTAGACTTTAAATGCTTTTTTTGTAAAAGGAACCCTCCATAACCATTATAGCATGCCAGCAGTGCCTGATGCTCTCTCATTGTAAGAAGTCAAGACATTTTAGGTCAGCTTGACTTCTGGGATCTGTCGGGTACCATTTCATGTCTCTTCCCTTCTGATACTGACAGCCTGCAGCTAGGGCCGGCTTTAGGCACCCTGTGAGAAAAATCTTCACAGTGCTCTACTCTGGCTACACCCCCTCCCATTAATACTTTTTACCATTTAAAACCTCATTATTACCTTTCAATTAATTACATAATTCTACATCCAACATGTCAATCACCTATTCTAAAAAGGGTTTTTAAAGCCTGAGATCTAAGTTTAACTTCAGTGACCATACGTACTATAGAAAAGGCTATATCGGAGGGTCTGTGGTTGTGTGCAGGGCGAGACAGGGAATAAAATGCAGCCCAGGAAAAAATAGTGCGCAGATATACATTTGGAAGAAAATGACTAAATACCGTATATACTAGAGTATAAGTTCACCAGAATATAAGTAGAGACCCCTAATTTTGCCCCAAAAAACTGCGAAAACTTATTGACTCGAGTATAAGACTAGGGTGGGAAATGCAGCAGCTACTGGTAAATTTCTAAATAAAATTAGATCCCCCAAAAATTATATATATTGAATATTTATTTACAGTGTGTGTATATATAATGAATGCAGTGTGTATGAATGCAGTGTGTGTATGTGATGCAGAGCCTTGGTGGGGGGTGGGCTTTTTTTTTTATTTTTTTATTTTTTTAATGTTATTTAATTTTTTATTCATATTTTTTTCGCCCCCCCTCCCTGCTTGATACATGGCCAGGGTTGGTCCAGTGGATGGGCTGTGTAGGAGGGGGGCTCCTGGCAGCAAGCTGTAACTTACCTTTCCTGCAGCTCCTGTCAGCTCCCTTCTCTCCCCTCCGGTCCGGTCAGCTCCAGTGTAAGTCTTGCGGTGTGAGTGCCGCGCAGAGCGTTGCCACGGTAACCCGTGGCAATGCTCTGACCCCGCGGCTCTCACAAGATTTACAGTAGAGCTGACAGGAGCTGCAGGAAAGGTAAGTAACAGCTCGCTGCCAGCCTCCTACAGGACCGCCGGGCTTGTAATGAGCCCGGCGGCCCTTGTCTGTATTATGGCAATGTAAGTTGTCATAATACAGACATTGACTCGAGTATAAGTCGAGTGGGGGTTTTTCTGCACAAAAAATGTGCTGAAAAACTCGATTATACTCGAGTATATACGGTATAACCTTTTTTTTTGCCTCACTGCTCTCGGGAGTATGCAACAGACGATATTCCTGGAACAAAGTTATAGCATACAACAAGCATGACATTTAGACAATGTGTATCAGTACGGAGTGGGGGGAGGATTTTTATATATGTATGGGCATGCTGGTCTAACAGGTAGCATCCACTGTAGTGTAGAACCTTTCTAAAGGTACAGATTAGCACCCTCTTATAACATATCTATGGCATATGTGTATCGTGCTATAAAGAGTGGGGAGGGTGGGTTGGGGGACTTTTTCTAAGGAACAATTAAAAACACACAAGAAACTTCAGCTTGCCTGTTGTGTAAAGAGTATGTTCCTTTTTATTTTATAAAAGTGCAGATTTCAATAGAAAGTGGGACTTTTATAGAAGTCTATTCTCTTACACCTTCCCATCTGTCAGACAGCCAGGAGTTTTTTTTTCTTTTGAGTAGTTTAGCTTCCTGGAGCTAGGCACAAGTGGCAGACTTGCCAAAGCACACATGCCCTGCAAAGACTTCTAACTGAGCTGCAGCTCAGTGAGAAGTTTGTGACTTGACAACTGGGAGCAGACTCTGGTCATTCTCTGTCACAGACAATAAAGTTTATGCCAGCGAAAGAGGGGGCTTGTAGTGGCTACAGATGCCAAATCTTCAGCTGTATAATTTTTATCTAAAAAAAAATATACAAAATTAAACACGTTTGTTTTGAAAATATATTTACTAAATTGTCTTTATTTTTTTTAGCAGATAATGTACAATAATATATAGTGAATGTTTCAGCCCCTTCACTTTAATGTAAAGGCAGGTTGTTTTTTTTAACTAAACCATGATTTTCGTTTGCAGAAAATTCTAATTGTAACGTTTATTCTTAAACAGCCAAGTTGTGACTAAAGCTGAGTTGAAGAATTTTTCCAAATTAGCTATTTTTGCCTCAAGTATGGATTTTTAATTGCTGCAATCTAGAGTTTAGTGAACAACTAAATATAATTAAAGGACCACAATAGTGCCAGGAAAACAAACTAATTTTCCCGGCACTATAGGGTCATAATTTCCCCTTCAGCCACTTACCTTTCTTCAGCCCTTGGCACTGGTGACCTCTCTTCCCCTTGCCGATGTTAGATCCACATGCGCGGCAAGAGCCGCTCGTGTATTCAAACCGCCCATAGGAAAGCATTACTCAATGCTTTCCTATGCACGTCCAGCATCTTCTCACTGTGATTTTCACAGTGAGAATCGCAGAAGCACCTCTAGCGGCTCTGTGAGACAGCCACTAGAGGCTGGATTAACCCTCAGTGAAACATAGCAGGTTCTCTGAAACTGTTTTCAGCTGCAGGGTTAAAACTAGAGGGACCTGCACCCAGACCACTTCATTGAGCTGAAGTGGTCTGGGTGCCTATAGTGATCTTTTAATGTTAGCCCTGAGTGGCCAACAATATATATGTATATTATATGTACACAATACATTAACATACATGTGTAACTATGCATAGACTCCCCGAAACACATACATTAAATGAACTCAATAGCAATGGGAATACAAAACTGTATTCCTAATCCTGTAGTGTCCCTCTCCCTTGCTCAATATAGGTGTCCATCCCATTTACAGTTAAAATTAGATACTAATAAAGATTTAGCCATCTTTTTCCAGCGCCTCCCACAATGTCATGGAGGAGACACTGCCTACCCCGCCCAGTCCAATCCTCCGAAAGGAGAAGTGAGCATTGTGCACGCATTAAAAGCTTTGAATCAGTGCTTTCCCATGGGTCACCCCCGTCACATGACAAGTTTTACTCAGTCAGTGATGCCGAAGTATCTCTAGTCACTAGTGGCTCTCATACTGACAGCCACTAGAGGTGGAATTAACCCTGCAATTTAAACAGTACAGTTTCTCAAATACACAGGGCCACTGCACTCAGGCCACTTCAAGACACAATAGTGTTTTGTTTTGTTTAAACTTTTCTTTTTACTTTGTCCTTTAAAAGGTAAGGAAAAAAACATATATATATATATAACAATGGTCTATTTAAGAAAAGGGTGCACACCAACACATATTCACGCTCACTGACACACACAATGACACATACATAGAATCAGTCAGATGCATTCACACCCCCAAACACACAGGCTGACTCAGGCACTCACTGATACACATAGACTAAGCGAGCACTCAATAACACACTCACTGCCACAGGCACTAATGAACACACACGTGCACAAGCATTCACTAACTCACATTAGCACAAGACCTCACTGATACACACACTGACGTAGTCATTCACTGTGACAAAAACACACACTGACATGCAACAGTTTAAAAATGCATATTTCTACTATGTGGTTTACATTAGTTTGGCAGTTCCTGCAGGGCTATAAATGATGGGTGGAGCCTGGCAGCCCTGACAGAGATGGGGAAATAACAGAGATATATCAGATCAGAGTACTGACCTGCTGCAGCAAATGGCTCCATCCTCCGCCATGTTTCCAGCTTTGAGACCGTATTTGCTGGTGATCCGCACGGTGTCAGACAGCAGCAGGGGAAGAAAGGCAGGGCTCTGTTGATACTCCTAGAGGGGAATCTACAGGCAGCACAGGGGCCATGAAAGAAGCTAGTGCTGTAAAATGGAGGCAAGGAACTGGCAGCCAAGGACAGTAGAAACATGCTTACTGGATGTGTATGCACAGAGGGCTGTCCGATTTGAGAGTGAGTGTCTGCTCCCCTACTAATTCCTCCTCCTTAGCTCTGCCGCCACTCACAGCCCCCTTTAAAACTGCATGCCTCAAATTAGGCGCTTGGAGTTCACGTCCAGTAAATTGTCAACTGCTTTAGCCTGGCTACTCCCCCACGGCGCTCCTCCATATTAACTTGAGTGCCACCGAGGGAGCAAAGGAAGGATTAACAAACTCTAGTGTCAAAGCATGTGAGAGCTGTGTTGGCTACCAGCCACCCCTGTTGCCATGGTGCCCTTTGCTGCTGCACAGCTCACCCCCAAAAGGCCGGCCATGTCTGCGTTGTAAAGCTTGGCTCAATGGCTGACCGTGATCAGCTGATGCTCTCAGTCAATGAGCCAGCCGTGCATTGAAGGACTTACCTTTGACAGCTAAAGGAAGTGGGTTAGGCCAGGGCTTGACAAAGCCCTGGCGACTAGGCATTTTGTCCGGGCTCCTGGGTGTTTCTCAGTCCATTAAGGCCCCGACGTGATCAGCTGATTGAGATAGGAGGCATCAAGGGAGCTGTTATCTTTTTGCTCTGCTGTGATGCCTTGAGCCTGAATAAGACGCCACTCCTGATCCAGCATCACTAAACTGCGATGAGCACACACCTCCAGAAAAGGTTCCACTCCAGCTCTCCCAAAAGTAGGGAGGCTGGGTGGACAAATTAAAATAAAACAAATAGTGTATGTGTGTCAAATCAGTGTTTAGTTGTTTTTTGTACCCCTTTAGTACTATACTGACTATTCATATGGCTGATCTGAACAATGGAGTACATATGTCAAAGATCCTAAAATTCTCACCCCAAATGAGCAATGGAGCCCTGCATCCAAACGGTGGTTAATAAAATAAATAAATGTCCCACATCAAACTGGTGGAATTGCCTGCTACAGTTGTCCAGAGGTGTATTGTTTAATATCATCATTAACAATCATATTCCATTTAGCTTATAGCTTTTTTTAATAGTGTTTATATTAGACAAAGAATACATTTAACTGCACCATTTTAATGTACGCCTTTTTTCAACAATATTGTTGTTTTTTTTTTTTTTTTTTTTTTTAACTTAATGGATGCCATCATTTGCAGGTGATATTGGAAATTACTACTATGGACAAGGGCATCCTATGAAACCTCACAGGATTCGGATGACCCACAATTTACTGCTAAATTATGGACTTTACAGGAAAATGGAAATTTATGTAAGTAAATATTTTACTACTCTTTGCTACATTGTAAATGTCTGTCATGAATAGTTAACAAAACATGTTATCTGCCTCTTAGAATGTCACACTTTTTTGTTCACTTTTTTTTTATAAACATTTTTAAGGCCCACGGGTGTGCCGTCATCCTCAAGGAGATGTGCCTAAACACCTAGCCATCCACATGTCTGCCGCCATTCCTCTGCTGCAGATTGCACTGAAGGGACCTGCCTGGCAACTCAGGCAGTCACCCTGTGGCCAGTTTTGGCAATTTGCAGCACGTGATCACTTTTACAATGTCTCAGCAAATGATTTGTAACATAGGCTGAGACATTGTCTCTTTCCCTTTCTAATCCTCACTTAGATCTGAGGTATGCCTTAGATCTGAGGCAGAGTGATCTTTGAAGAAGCAAAAAAGCCTTTTATTTAACATTATTGTGATCAGCCTGATTAGTGTATTTAGTACCTTGTTACCATTTCTGTTTTTTTGGTGGGTTTTTTTTTTTACCCTTTTTTTTTTGTCAAAAAATAAAAAAAATCTTCCCTGTTGCTTTATCACTGTCCTTTTATCTATGTTGTACAGTGCTGTATCTGTGATCAGTGTGATGAGAGGGTTATCTGATCAGGCTGATATTATTTGGGGGGAGGAGAGGGGTTGGTTTAAAAAAAAACAACTCCTTTTAGTACTGGTTTGCAGCTGTTTAAGCTGCAGTCAGTAATTTTATTACTTATTTTTGAGTTGGGTGGGTGTGGGGAGTGGGAGTGGGTAGTGTGTGGTAGGCAGGTAGGCAAGAAAGTAAATTAATCCTCATAGAATGGCACGCTTCTATACACTATGGCAGACTCTGATAATGATGCCATAGCAGTGACTCACACCTGCCGGCATTGAGCTCCTGAGTGAGCCCTCAAGTGATGGTGCCCCACCACCCTCTATGTGTGGACCCTCACGACACCCAGAGCCAGAGGAAGATTAGCTACCCCCAAACGTGACGCCCCCGGAAATACCCCTGTTCACTGCTACACCTGGCATCACAGTAACAGCCAGTTGAGCTCTTTATGTTGATGACATACTTGAGCTAATGATTGAGCAAACAAACTTGTTTACCTGCCAGTACCTTTCTGCAAATTCAGGGTCACAGTGTAATAGTAACCCTAGTAATGGATATTGGCAAAAAAAACAGTATTGGGTGCTACTGGATAAAGAGCCACATCCTGCTTACTAGGGATTGACCAATTATTGGTCTGGCCGATGTTATCAGACGATATTCTGAATTTTCTGCAATATAGGTATCGACCTATGAAGATACCGATATTGCCGATAATGCAGACCAGTGCCGCCATCAGGGCATGACAACCGAGACGGTTTTCATGGGCCCAGCGGTCCTGGGGGGCCTGCAGCACACTCTTCCCTTCCCAGCAGCTCCTCTGTCTAAACCTTGTGAGTCCTACAGCCGTCAGTGTTGCCACAGGTTACCATGGCAACGCTCCACGCGGCACAAAAGCCGCAAGTGTCAGACAGGGGAGCTGCTGGGAAGGTAAGTAACAGTGTTGCTGAGCCCCATCTGCAGAGTCCATGCCACCGGACCAACATTTCTTACCTGGCCAGGGAGAGGGGACTAAAACAAAATGTAAAAAAATTTAATATTTAAAAAAATGTAAAAATAAATTAAAATACCCCTCCCCCCATTTTACACACATTACATACCTACACAAACACACTACATTCAATATTTACACACTACACAAACACGCACTGCATTTGTTTTTTATATATATATATATGTGTGTGTGTGTATGTATGTGTGTATATATATATATATATATATATATATATATATATATACACACACACACTGCATTCACTATGCACACATTACACAAACACACACTGCATTCACTATGCACACATTACACAAACACACACTGCATTCACTATGCACACATTACACAAACACACACTGCATTCACTATGCACACATTACACAAACACACACTGCATTCACTATGCACACATTACACAAACACACACTGCATTCACTATGCACACATTACACAAACACACACTGCATTCACTATGCACACATTACACAAACACACACTGCATTCACTATGCACACATTACACAAACACACACTGCATTCACTATGCACACACTATATAAACACACATTGCATTCATTATTATACACACTACACACACACTACGCACACACTGCATTCAATATGCACACACTACACACTCTGCATTCACTACACCCACGTATATTCTTGAAAACATAAATTCTGATTGTATATTTTGTGCATTTACCTTAGTTTAAAAAAAAAAAAAAAAAGCAAAAAATAATAATAAACATGTTCAGTTAACAGTAGATTTGTGTAGAAAGTTTATTTTTTCAAAACAGTAAATGTACAGAGTATCGGTAAGTTATCGACTATCGGCCTGAAAGTTCATAGATTAGCGGTATCGTCTCTAATAAATCATAGAGAGACAGACACAGACTCACACACTCAAAGAATTATTTATTCTTGATATACTCAAATGTATACACACACAAACCTTTATACATACATACACACATGACATGCACAGAAAAAAGGGCTTGCAGGCGGCTCTGCAGTATGGGGCAGGAGGAGGGTGGGATTAAGGTCAGCTATGTGTCAAGGGGGATGGGCAGAGAGCAGGGTCGGTTATGTGTCATGGAGGCGGGGAGCAGAGCTGTCTTTACCTGGTTTCCTGCCAGGTTAGCTTGCCATTCCCCTGTGCCTGGGATTTGTCAAGCCCTGGTTTAAATTCCAGGTTTTGTTTTGATCAGAACTTGTACAATTGCCTCTGTCCTTCAGGGATTAAAGAAATACAATTAAAGGACCACTCTAGGCACCCAGACCACTTCAGCTTAATGAAGTGGTCTGGGTGCCAGGTCCTTCTAGGGTTAACCCATTTTTTCATAATTATAGCAGTTTCAGAGAAACTGCTATAATTATGAATGGGTTAAGCCTTCTAATCCTCTAGTGGCTGTCTCATTGACAGTTACTAGAGGCGCTTGCGTGCTTCTCACTGTGAAAATCACAGTGAGAGCAGCGTCCATAGGAAAGCATTGTAAATGCTTTTCTATGAGACCGGCTGAATGCGCGCGCAGCTCTTGCCGCTGCGTGCGCATTCAGGGCGGGGCGTAACGGAGGCGGAGAGAGGAGGAGAGCTCTCCGCCCAGCGCTGGAAAAAGGTAAGTTTTTACCCCTTTCCCCCTTCCAGAGCCGGGCGGGAGGGGGACCCTGAGGGTGGGGGCACCCTCAGGGAACTATAGTGCCAGGAAAACGAGTATGTTTTCCTGGCACTATAGTGGTCCTTTAATATGTCAGTGTTCCTTCATTGGTATGCATCACCACCCACTCTCTTTTTCTGAAATAAAAAAAATAGAAATGCCTGTAAATTAATCTAGCACTGGTCCAACTCTATTGGGCAGCCACTCCTCCCATGGTGAGAATCATCTATCTGGTCCCCATAGAGATGCATTGGTGACCTAATGGCATTGTGTGACAATCACTGAGCTCATAGAGAAGCATTGCAATGCAGAACATGAATACTTATAATTTTTTTAATTTATTTTTTTTGTTGTTGAAAAGGAAGTGCTACTAAAAGCAACCTGTCTCCCAAGTGTAAATGTTTCTATTTCTTACCACAGGATGTGCATTTGTTGAACTGCAGGGATGAACCAAAACCATTACTTTAAAATATAGTGCTTTTGGTGCTTAGTGTTCCCATAGTGGTTATGGTGCCAGTATATTTATGCCACTGTCTCCAAATTGTTTTTGAGAGGTTAAAAAGAAACTAAGGATCCCCTGGGCATTCGCTACACTGCTTGTTGTCGATATAACTATCACAAAAGCTCTACTTCTGCATTGGCAATATCAAAGGTACTCTGTAACTTTTTCACTTCATTAAGGGGACACTATAGTTACCAAAACAACTTACACTTAATGAAGCAGTTTTTGTGTATAGATCATGCCCCTGTAAGCTCACTGCTCAGTTTGCTGCCATCTAAGACTTAAAATGACTTTATACAGCCCTAGCCATACCTCTCCTAGCTGTGACTTATACAGCCTGCATGGAAATTAAAATGCAACTAGGCTTTAAAAGTTTTTATCTCTTGCTCTGTAAATTAAACTTTAATAAAATACAGGAAGCTCCAGCAGGGTCTAGCAAGCTATTAACAGAGCAGGGGATAAGAAATTCTAAATTAATCAGAATTTGCAATTAAGGTACTGTAAATCTTAGATGACTCTTTACAGGAAGGCTTTTGAAAGGCTGTGTAAGTCGCATGCAGGGAGGCGTGCCTAGGGCTGTATAAACAAAGTGATTGAACTCCCAAATGGCAGATAGATACATCTATACACTAAAACTGCTTACTAAGCTAAAGTTGTTTTGGTCACTAAACATAGAATGTGACGGCAGATAAGAAATTTGCACTCGGTCTGTGCCTGGTCCCAATTAATATCTTATCACTCACTTTGTCCTGATAACCGCATGGGAAATGTATTTTTATGTTTTAAGTGGCAGTACTGTACAAGTGGGTTGTTCCCTCTTCTGTGGACAAGAAGCTCTGAAAGATATAGAAATTTAAATACTCCCGCCTACCTGCTCATAAAAGGCAGTAACCTCCTTTAGTCCTCAGTTCTTCTTGTCCGGGCTCACAGGTTGCAGCCAGAGAGAACTGGACCCGAAGCTCACCGGGAGGTGAGATGCGTGGTACCCCTTCCACACGAGCGTTACGGAACGAGAGTGGAAGGGGATTTTCATTCTGCTGACAGGAAGTAGGAGGTCCCGGGTGGCCCTCCAATCCACATGCAGGCCAGGCACCTGCGAACAGCAGTGGAACGCATGCCCGGGTGGCTTTGCGTTCCACTGAAGTTCCAAACGCAGCAATGCACATGCGTGATTGAAACATTGGAAAATTGGCGCGAAATTGAGCACCAGGATGGTCGCCGGTATCAGGTTCACAGTGTCGCCAGCCTTCCCACACAGCAGTAAGGTATTTTGAGGTGAGATTAGTCTTTCCTTTGAAATGCCTCATATTCTATTTCTATTTTCTGTTGTATTTAGTGATTATAACTTATTATATTTCAGAATATGTCCAGTCCTGCATCCCCAGACAAGGACAAGGAAAAAATGTTTGCTCCAGCTCCCAGGAAGGCTCCCTGTAAAGCTAAATATCTCTGTTGCTTGGAATGTGCAGTACCAGGTGGTTGCAGAAAAAAGTCATGCAACAAGTGTACTGCAGAATCCTTGGAGAAATCAAAACAAAAAGAGATGCAATAGTTTTTGAGCTGGTTTCAGGAAAACCTTTCTCAGATGTTCGAATCATTCAAGGATTCGGTTAAGAATGATAGCGGAGCTGTTAAACATCCAGAGAAGGAAGATAAAAGTAATCTTCTCAATGAAAACTGTCTTCAGGGGAATGTTCAAGTTATTCTAGATCAGAGGTTTCCAGCCTAGACTCCAGCCTGGATGAAGACTTCCCTCCAGAGGTACTTAAAAAATTGGTTAAGGAAGTTGCTGCCTTGCTTCAGGGAATGGAACCTGCTAAAAGTAAGGCAAAAGGTTTTCCGACTAATCCCGGGATTCTAGAGCTGCTCCAGAGGGAATGGATAAATCCTTAACAGGCTTTTATTTCTAAACACTTTAAACTAATATTCAAGTTACAAAGCAAAGAAAGATGGGAATATCTGCCAAAGGTTGACATCCAAGTAGTCCAACTCTCCAAGAAAACCACCATTCCTAGAGGGGAAGTTTCAGGTTTAAAGGCGCAGAAACATCACGCAAAAGGGCTTATCAGGCTGTAGGTTATCAATGTAAGGCAGCAATTTCAGAAGCAGCAGTTGCAAAGGCCCAGGGTGCCTGGCTCCTTTCCTTGGAGGATATGTTTGCGGGAAAATCAGACAAAAACCTGTCACAATTATTCCTCCACCTGTAAAGGCTCTCTTATGAATTTATTTAATATATGACTGAAGAAGTTCTCAAACTATCCACCAGATTTATGGGTCTCTGGGTCAGATCTTGGACGGCAGATACTGCATCTAAGGCAAATCTATGCAAGCTGCCCTTTGAGATGAAATAGTTGTTCGGATCTGCACTGGAAGACATCATTAAACAGATGGCAGATGCTAAAAAGGCCCTGCCTCAAGAATTTAGAGCCTCTAACTCCAAGAGATTTCAGTACAAAAGGCAAAGATAATTTTGGCTTCAAGATAAATCTAGGAGATTTTGGAAACCCTTTTGTGAAGGCAAGAGAGAATACCAAGGACATTCGGGGTACCAAAACAAAGATAAAAGAAGACAATATTGACGCAAGAAGAGTGGGAGTTTGTCTAAAATACTTTGTTCCACAATGGAAAGAAACTACTTCCAACAAATGAATATTGCATATTATAGAAGAAGGCTGCAGAATAAAGTTTACAAGAACACCTTCAGAATTCCTGGTGTCAACCTACACTTCAAAGATGAAGTCACCAGCCCTTCTCACTGTCCCTCTTACACAAAGGGGTCATAGAAAGAGTACCAAAACATCAAGAGTTTCAAAGAGTATACACTCATCTGTTTCTTGTTCAAAAACCAGACAAAAGTTTTTGCCCTATTCTAGACCTCAATGCGGTCAACTCCTGCATTCCGTACCGTTTCCACCTGGAAAATATCCTTTTCGTTACTCTCATCCTTCAGAAGGGAGAATACATGGCGAAAATAGATCTCAAGGACGCCTATCTTCATGTGCCCATGGCCACAAACTCAAGGAAGTTCCTCAAGTTTGCAGTGAAATCAAGCAAACAAAAGATTCTCCATTTCCCATTCAGGGCTCTTCCATTTGTCCTTTCTTTAGTTCATCGTATATTTACGAAGATCCTTTTACCTTTGACAGCTGTGCTGAGATTAAAAGGCATAGCCATCGTCCCGTACTTAGACGATTGGCACTGAAAGCACACTCAATGGAACAACTGAAAAGGAATCTTCGGTTAACCACTCAGTTCTTGTAGTCTCACAGTTGGATAATAAATTCAGAAAAATCCTAATGGTTTCCCACCACAAGAATTCTAGTTCTAGGCCTTTTGGTAGATCCAGTATGCTTCAGAGAAGGAATCGCTGTACCATCAGACAAGCAATGAGCTGCTTAGTCCTCCTTACATCCACCATTCCAGCAGTGAAGAAGGCAAGATCTCAGATCAGACCTTTACAATGGGACATCCTATCAAATTGGTCCAAAAGAGAAGAAGATCTGGACAAAGAGATCTTGATTTCGGACGGAGTAAAGACGCAACTAAATTGGTGGATAGATTCAAGATTGATAACAAACGGCTTCTCATTCAAGCAAAGGATATGGTTCACCATAAATACGGATGCTTCCGTCACAGGTTGAGCTGCACATGTGGGATCACTGTTTCACCTAGGTTGCTGGTCCCAAGCGGAAACTGCTCAGTCCTCAAACTACAAGGAATTGGTATGAGAGGCCCTACAAGCTTTCAATTTAGAAATTGGAGACAAATCAGTGAGAATTCAATCAGACAATCTCACTGTCTCTTACCTGAACCATCAGGGCGGTACAATGGTTATGACACTCCAAAGATTATGTGCACAGATCATGGCTTGGGCTCAGATGGAACTATAATAAATTTCAGCAACTTACATCAACGTCTCAAACAACATTGTGGCAGGCGATCTGAGCAGGCAACACTGGACTCAGACAGAATTGTCTCTTCATCCAGATACATTTAAGATCCTAGTCGGGAGGTTCGGACTACCAGAGATGGATCTTACGGCCAACAGACGCAACGCAAAAATAAACAACTTTGCTTCCATTATAAAACAAGATTGCCTACTAGTTCTGGGCGGATTCTCAATCCCTTGGAAGTTCAGGTTGACCTTCATCTTCTCTCCGGTAGCTTTAATAGCTCGAATTGTAAAAAGATACGTACAGACAAGGCAAGAGTTTTAGCTACCTTCCCCTACTGGCCAAATTAGAGCTGATTTTCCAAAATCAATCAGTTGGCAGTCTCTCAGTGGGTTCTTCCTTGCTCTCCAACCTTACTGGACGTTCCCGTGGAAACTCTGAGGATGTTTTGATTGACGGCCTGGCTGCTGCAAGGGTAATTTTAAAGGAGCAGGGTATTTCGGATGCGATCTGTGACACCCTCCTTGCCTCCACTTGTAATTCTACTTCTAAAATGTACCTCCGAATCTGGCAGAAGTTTTGAAGACGGTTGGTCTTCCATTCCTTCTATCCTGGCTTTTCTTCAATAAAGCTTTAACTCACGCCTTGGGTTGGAGAGCTTCAAGCTGTCTGCTTCTCCGGAATTTTCAATCTTTCACCAGGATGAGGCTATATTACATCTAAGACTTTTGTTTCTGCCTAAAGTGGTTTCTAGACTGCACTTCAACCAGCCTATTGTCGCTGCCTAGATGTTAGAAGGGCCTTGGAAGTATACCTCAGGAGGTCAGCCCCTTACATGGTTTCAGACCATCTTTTTCTTAATTTTTAAGGTGCCTTTAAAGGCAAGATGGCTTCCAAATCTACGTTGGCCAGATTGCTTACTGAGGCCACTAAGTTTTGTCCTATGTTTCCAGCAATGTCTCCCTTTTTTTTTTTTTTTTTTTTTGGGCCATAAGGACTGCAGGTGTAATAAGAAAAGTGCAATAATAGGAGACAATCATAACTCATGAGGAAAAATACTACTTGGTCATTAGTCCCTATGCCCTCAAGGGGAGTGCTTCACAGGGTTCCCAACTTCTGCTTGAGGTCCCGGAGAGCGGCCTTCTCTCCTTGACTTAGCCTTGTGTAGGCCTCAAGCCTCGGTTTGTCAGTCCGACGTAGTAAGAGCTTGCAAAAGGTACCTTCTGATGCAGCAACCTCTCCCGGGTTTAAGTAATTTTGGCTGCAGTCTGTAAGTGACGATTTCTAGATGAAACACCCCGTTTTTGGGGGGGGTTTTGTCCCCAGACGTGTTTCCCTTTCTTTTCCGGTCAAAGCACATTAAGTTAGAGGCATTTCAACTTCCTGGGCTGAGAGGTCTTTGGCTTCTTCAGAAGATATCTGTAAAGCTGCTATTTGGTCCTCATTCCACACTTTCATCAAGCATTACAAGCCGACATAATATCCTGCCTTTGAAGACGCTTTTGGGCGAAAGGTGCTCCAAGCTGTGGCCTACTAATTACCCACACATTTCCTGAAGGAATCTTGCTATATCCCACTTGTACAGTACTGCCACTTACAACAAGAAAAACAGTAATTTTACTTACCATAAATTTTATTTTCCTTAGTGGAATGGCAGTACTGTATTCTTTCCCTCCCATTGGATATTAAATTATATTTTGCAGTATTTGGTCTCCGTGTGGTTGTTTAGAAAATGGAGGATTAAAGGAGGTTACTGCCTTTTATGATCAGGTAGGCAGGAGTTTTTACATTTCTATATCTTTCAGAGCTTCTTGTCCACATAAGAGGGAACAACCCACTTGTACAGTACTGCCACTCTACTAAGGAAAATAGCGTTTACGGTAAGTAAAATTAGTTTTCTTTGAAATGGGATATCTCTAAAATTCAGGCTCTCTATAAAAAGGCAAGCTCATCAAAAGTGTATTTTAGCTTGCATTATCAACCAAGTGGCAGGGCCTGCTCATGCGTGAAGAGCAAGCAAGCAAGAGTCGCTATTTCTATTGAGGGAAGAATTTTACTAGATGTAAATTGATTGATCATGCAAGCTAAAATAGAGCCAAAGACTTTAAAAAAATAACATCTTTCAGACTACAGTAAGCAAGAGACTCGAGCTGCATCCAGGGGCAAGTGATAGCCACACAGGTCTGTAAGGGGCAAGTGATAGCCACACAGGTAGCTGGTATTGGAAGCTTTGACAGGAATGTTGCTGAGCTTGCCTTTTGATAGAGAGCCTGAATTTTAGAGAGATTCCATTTCAAAGAAATAGACTTCCCATGCTGTGATCGGGACCAAGTGGGTGATAAAATATTAATTGGGACCAGGCACAGACAGAGTGCAAGTGCACTACAATAAGTTGAGAGCTCCACATAGGGTGTCTTTGGTGGAGGCTCCTCACCTAATGTTATTACAAAATTTTAGCTCTCCTCTCTTTAGATTGCTGTTTGAATTACAAACACTGGAGTGCTGGAGGATTCCGAAGAGGTGACTATATTTATGGTGGGGACTGTACGACCTTGGGATAATTAAAAGGAGTACTGCATATACATCAGGACAATATCTTTATTTGCATTAACTTTCTGCTGAATTAATAATTTTTTATAATATTATTTATATATATATATATATATATATATATATATATATATATATATATATATATATATATATATATATATATATATATATATATATATATGTGTGTGTGTGTGTTCTATTAATACTTTGCTCTCTAATTTGAATCTGTTCCAAGTATGTGCGCTAACTCATTGTTTTAAATATCGAATTTTAATTAATGTAAATTTTTTAAACCGGGATTGACGTGAACAGAATGAAGAAACAAAGAATAAAATTTTTTTAAAAAGGGGGAGGAATGCCAACCACTTTAGATGATATGGCACCACCATAATGGCGTTGCAGTGAGAAACATAATCTGGAAAAGAATGTGACAATGATCCCTGGAGTAAATAGATTAAAGCAGGGATTGAAGTTAAGAAGATGGTTTGAATTTATACCTCTGGCATCTAAGGGATTAATCTCTGTATGTGTATTATATCAGAATGAAACACTGCACATACAAATTCCAGACACCATAACCACTTCAAATAAATGAAGTGGTCACCCTATAGATTGTAAGCTCGCTTGAGAAGTGTCCTCTTCAACCTATCGTTCCTGTAAGTTTTCTTGTAATTGTCCTATTTATAGTTACATCCCCCCCCTCTCATAATATTGTAAAGCGCTACGGAATCTCTTGGCGCTATATAAATGGCAATAATTATAAAAATTGTGTGTGGAGTAACCCGTTAATTGTAGCAATGACTGGTTCACTTTTTGTCTGCAATATGGCTTCAAGAATCATGATTTTGTGGCTTCTGGTATTTGTGCAGCCTTGGTCATGTTTTCATACTTAGTCTAAAGTAGTTAAAAATACAGACACAGAAATGCAGATGTTTCTAAGCAGTAAAAGTATGCAATTTAGCCCAGTTTGTAAATAATTACAGAAAAATCGCATTTTATCTAAAACTATACTTTTTCTTTTTTTAGCGACCTCACAAGGCAACTGCTGAAGAGATGACCAAGTACCACAGTGATGAATACATAAAATTTCTCAGATCTATAAGGCCAGACAATATGTCAGAGTACAGCAAACAAATGCAGAGATGTACGTTCATTTTGGCTTTTTTTAATTTTTTTTTTATTAAAAGTGAATAATAGAGGGGGTTTTTGTTAATATTACACGTTTTATATTCAATAACTTAATGCATGTATGTGAGTGCTTTGGACTGTTACATACATAGTGTTGGTGTGTAATACTGCCCAAAAAGAAAACATTTTGGCTATACAGATAGTCAGAGAAAAAGACATTGTGTTGTCCATCTTTGTGCGCCCAGCTGGGCAATTCTGTCTTAAAAACAGGCTAGGTCAAGGCCAGAGTGCTCAATGATAGGAAACCATTTCGCAGAAAGGAAGATACTTTTTTAGAGGGACACTATAGTCACCAGACAAACTACAGCTTTAGATTCATAATCCCTCCTGTAAATAATCAAACCTATTGCAAACATTAATATATCCTTTGTTTAATGTTGTGAAGGGTGGCAAAAAAGTTTTCAGTGCAAAATACTTTGTTTACTTTTGTGATCTAAAACATTGTGATTTTAATTTGATATGTTTAAAAATGCATGGCTTATTGTATGTAACCATTCTCAATTCTGTACAGTCAATGTAGGTGAGGATTGCCCTGTGTTCGATGGTCTCTTTGAATTTTGCCAGTTGTCTACTGGAGGTTCTGTAGGTAAGTACTATGCTAACCATTAGCACTATGTTTCTGTTCAGGAGAAACAGTTTTACTTATACTGGTTATTCGTAAAGTGACCTTGTTCTCAATTCCTGCTGGTGTCACCTTCCAGGAGCCATATTAGTCACGTTTGCACAAACAACGGCTGATGTGAAGGCGGGTACTCCTTCCATTGCCACATTTTGCCCCAAATCATGGCTTCCGTGAGACAAAGTAATGCATACTTTCTCATGTATATCTTGTGATTGAGTTGAAACCCATTTCAGTGTGCACTGTATGAGCTTCTGTCTATATATAAAAGCCCTGAAGTGACGATGCTGGTTTTAGTTTTAAGCAAGGCGAAGTAGAGAACAACCAGGCTCTCCAGCCATTGTGGAACTACATTTCTCATGATGCTTTGGAATCCGAAGTGGGAGACCGTTCCACATAAACTGGAACAAACTACATCCGTTTGCATATTCTACTAATGACACAGAACAAGCAGAATATTAAAGCTCAACTTAATTTTATCCGTATCGATAGCATTAGGAAAAATGTTCAATGTATGTATTAAATTAAAATAAAATAAAATCAATGTGTAATATTATGTAATAACTTTGTTTGAAATTAAAGCACAACATTTTATATCTTCCACTGCTGCCATTAGTCAATAGCTAACAAAACTATTTTAACCCAGGTAGTTTTTAGCGGCTGTTCCATCAGCACTGCTCAGATATACTGGTCCATTGAATACAGCTCCGACTGAAGGCCTGTTCTTCAGATAATGTTGTACAAACAATAAAACATCTATAGTTAGACCTCTGTCTGTTATTGTCAGACTCCACTTACTGTACCTTTTTCTTTCTTTTTTAGTTTCTTTCTTCTTTCACCATGTTTTCCTCGAAACCTACTCCATATTCAGCATCTTTTAGTAGGAAAGGAAAGCTTTTTAAATTTTTTTACCTTCGCGGTGTAGGCTAGGTTCATAATACATTATTATTAATAATAATGTAAGTTGTAACTTTCATGATATTTCTACACCTTATCCTATCCTAATCCATCTGCCTCAGATCCCCTTCTCACTCCTTATCTCCTTACCAAATCTTCTCTTTTGATTCACTTTTCCTTGATTTGTAATCTTTCCACTCCCTTTCTTTTTCTGTTCTTTATGCTCACTCCATCTACCCTGCTTTGGGTTTGTTTTCTTTTCCTTTCCTCTGGCCAAACTGACACCTCTACTTTGATTGAGAGAGAGAGAGAGAGATATATATATATATATATATATATATATATATATATATATATATATATATATATATATATATATATATATATATATATATATATATATATATATATATATATATATATATAAAATCTTTTTTATATACAAGGCACTGATTAGTGTTAATTTTAAGCACGCATTTTTTTAATTTCTTTACACTTTTTTTATGTGTTTTAAATGTAGCTGGTGCAGTCAAGTTGAATCGCCAGCAAACAGATATGGCTGTTAACTGGGCAGGAGGATTACATCATGCTAAGAAATCAGAAGCCTCTGGATTTTGTTATGTGAACGATATTGTTCTTGCAATCCTTGAACTATTAAAGTAAGTATATAAATGTGCATTTTGTAATATTATTGCCAAAAGTAGCTGGGGGTCTAGGTTATGTATGTATGCACAAATAAAGTGATTGAGAACATTCTGAGTGATTATGTCTTTTAGGTACCACCAAAGAGTGTTATATATTGATATTGATATCCATCATGGTGATGGCGTTGAAGAGGCATTTTATACCACTGATCGTGTTATGACTGTTTCATTCCACAAATATGGGGAGTACTTCCCAGGCACTGGAGATCTCCGGGTAAGGGACATATTTATGGCTTATTGCAACTTATTTAAATCCTAGAGTATACAATCTGATTAAAAACTGGTTGGTATTATATGTAAATACAGCTTTTTAATCTGTAGACTATTTGTATGTATTGGTTAGGCTGGGCAACTCAGATCCCACCAACTGGTGTCTACATTTTATCGTATTTTTGAGGTTTTAGTCATCCAGCTATAGGTTGGTATTGCTAAATAGTGTTTTGAGTTTCTTCTTCACTGTCTGCTTGTTACATCTTTTTCTGCATTTGGTTACTTTAATGGCATTTCTCCACATGGTGCTGTTTTAATTTAAACCTAGCCCCATATTCTCATGATTATTCCTACCATAAAACTCCAGAGCATGTAAAGTCTGCAAAATCATTTTTATTTATCTTGGTTGCTCTTAATATGTCAAGTCTTTTTATGCTTTATGTAGGTAATATACATGTGAAGAAGGAAAAAAAAAAAAAGATGAATCTATAATGCATCATCTGCAGTGAGCTCTTACAAGTCTGAGGATTAGATGGACACTCTAGTAATCAGAACTACAACTTAATGTAGTTGTCCTGGTGTCTACAGCCTGCCCCTAAAGGCTTTCTAATGTAAACACTGCTTTAAACACTATAGTGACAGCAATACACACTCCTTAAATCATCCGGTGGCAACTCCCGTATTTTACTATCGAAATACTTAAGCTGTAGTTAGTCTGGTGACTTGTGTCCCTTTTATGTGTTTGGAATTGACCTTTTTTATTTGGTTTGAAATTCTTCTATAGCATAGGTGAACTCCCAGAGTGTTTTATTATCTAATGACTGTTAAAAATTATGTCTTTTTTAAATTTATTTTTAATTGCTCCTGTCATGGGGGAAAAAGTCATAACTTTTTAAATTGGACACATTTCCATTTAAACGCTGTGCTACCAAAAGGTATAGTTTACACTTTATTTTCGGATATTTCTAAAATTATGCAAGTGAAACTGTAAACGTCTGCATGACCTCCGAATTTTTTTTTTAGGACATAACATCTAACTGCCTCTGACTGCAGAATCATGCAGCACCGCTCTAAAAGACCCGATAATGCCTCTCTACATGCATCTCTCACTCGTCGATTTGTTTGTGTTTCTTGAATCACATCAGTCTTTGTTTTTCTGTGTATTTCGGTTTACATTTGTGTTTCACTCCCTTTCTTGCACGATCTTAGTGTGTCTGTTTCTCTAAACCTCTCTCTCAAAAACAGTGTGAAAAAGTTCAGTGTGATTAATGATTTTTCAGCTGTCTGTCAGAATTCTAAATGGCAGTTTATCTCAGCTGGAAAAAAATCTGCTCTGATGTCATTCCTGGTGGTCCAGTGTGGCTTGGCAGTAACTACCTCATCAGGTTCTAGTGAGTGTGTATATTTTCTCCACTCCTCACTTTAAATTCTGACAGCACGTCTCCTTTTTTTTTTCTTTTCCTTTTTTTCCTCTCTTCTCGTCCTTTAGCATATTAAACCAGTTTTATTCATGGGATTTACGCACACATAACTTGCTCATATGATATTGCTGCATTTACTGAGCAAGTTGTACATTTAAATAACATGCCCCTTCCCCCAGTGCACTAAAATATTAACATGGGACAATGTACAGCAAGGTTGTCAGTTCATTTGAGAATGCAAACCTATGAGTTCCGTTTTTCATTTTGCCATATGGTTTCTCCATTGGAAAGAAAATTGTAAGTCTTTCTGTTTATTTTTCTTAAGGATATTGGTGCTGGAAAAGGCAAGTACTATGCCGTCAATTTTCCTATGAGGGACGGTATTGACGATGAATCGTATGGACAGATATTTAAACCTGTGAGTATAAAAGATTGGTGCAAGTGAATACTGTTTTTTGATGTTTATACCTGGTACGAATACTATTTGTGAATGTTTCTCTAACCCTCAGATCATTTCTAAAGTGATGGAAATGTACCAACCCAGTGCAGTCGTATTGCAGTGCGGTGCTGATTCATTATCTGGGGACCGTCTTGGATGTTTCAATTTGACTGTCAAAGGTATGAGTTCCCTTCTCCCTCCCTCAATGCAAGGTTATTTTTTTGTGTGGAAGAGTGATTTTCTAGTGAATTTTTAAAACAAATTGCTATATTATATTATTTATCATAAAGCTCTAACCTTTAAAGGAACGCTATAGGGTCAGGAACACAAACCTGTATTTCTGACCATATAGTGCAAAAGCTGCTATTTAGGTGGCTTGCACCCACCTTAGCCTCCTGAAAGTTAATAAAACTCACCTTATTTCCAGCGCCACGTGGGCTCTGGCCCCGCCCCCTTGGTGACATCTTTTAGCCAATTCACATGGGGAAAGCACTGGATTAGCTAAAATCGGCAAGGGGGCAGGGCCAAACGCTGTTTTGGCCAATCAACACCTCCTTGTAGAGATGCATTGGGGGGACGGGGTGGAGGAGTTGAATGCTAAAAGTTTAAATAATTATTGTATGTTTGATTTATTTAGTACCACTAGAGCACCTCCTCTCTACTGTAGCATAAATGTATATATGGTACACTAACAGAACTGTATTCACAGGTCATGCAAAGTGTGTTGAAGTTGTAAAGACATTTAATTTACCTCTGCTGATGCTTGGCGGAGGAGGCTACACTATCCGTAATGTTGCTCGCTGTTGGACATATGAAACTGCAGTAGCATTAGACTGTGAAATTCCAAATGGTAAATATTAACAATTTTTTTTTTGGTTTTTTTTGTTTCTTTTTCATCTAACTGCATTACAGCGCTCAATGTATACCATATCCATAACATTAAAAGAGCTGACTCACAGGTGTTCAAAGTATATGGTTATGTATATTTATTGGGTTTTGCTGTGATCTCTCTTTACACTGGCTTTCGTGCTCAGATCAGTGACTTGTAATAAAAGTTGAGAAGTCTAGGCACCATAACCACTACATGCTGATCTAATGGTTATGGCACCATTGGGCTGTTGTCACACCATTGGATAAACCTTTTTTTTTTTTTTTTCTGAGGGATTTTGAGTATTGTGTACTGTGTTTAGAGAAAATAATTAATAAATCACTTAGAATAAACAAAGATTTCAATATATTTATTTAAAATTACCTTTTGTGAATAGTGGGCCTGCCTTTTGTATCTACTGCATTAGTGTCCTATTCATGTAAAGGGATATGGAAATAAATTATACTTTTCTAGCCTCCATGCTTTTCTCTTGGTAACATCAGCAGTAGTGCAAAGTCTGCCAAACCTGTCCTGAATTCTTTAAAGGGACATTATAGGCACCCAGACCACTTCAGCTCATTGAAGTGCCCTGCCCTCTTAGTCCTGCAATGTAAATCTGTGCAGTTTTGGAGACACTGCAATGATTACATTGCAGAAATAAGACTGCCTTTAGTGGCTGTCATCAAGACCGCCACTAGAGGCTCTTCCTGGTGGTTAAGCGACTTTTGGTCACAAAACTGACGATGGACATCCTTGTGCTCTGCATTGTTTCCTATGGGAAGAGCCTAATGCACGGAATTCCACCTCCCTTCAGATGACGTCTGAGTAGACAGAGCGCCGACTTAGCGCTAATGAATCGGGTAAGTGTTAAAAAGGTTTTTTTTTTTTTGTTTGTTTTTTTTTTTAACCATTTCAAGGCTGCCAGAGCCAAACACAGGGTCTGGCCTATCAGGAGTCCCAGTGAAACTTCAGATATCTGCTAATACAAAACGGTGGTGGAGGACAATTCTCAATTTATGCATTGCAGCACATAGAGGAAGTGATCTCTAAACACTTGCTCCCAGCACTTGTGAATGGGAATCCACACTGGAGTAGAGCTCCGGTGCTTGACCTGTACCTGGCCCGCCTGGTCCCCACTGCACCCAAGGAAAGCCACCAACATTGCTAGATATACACATAAATGCATAATAATTGCCCACACACAATCCGTGCACACAACCCCACATGCAGGCTCTCACATACAATACCCCACACACCACCAAACACACTGTGACCTTTTCATCCACACACGCACTTGTACAAGCAGCCCCTATACACAGCCCACATTCATAGGTATCATACGCGATACTACAAACTACTCATGAACATATACAAAATAATAGCTCATATATGCAGAAATACAACGATACAAAACAACTGAAATATAAATAACACAAGCGGAATACGGAAACATACACACCGCAATTTAAAAAAAAAAAAAAAGACTGGCACTCTACGGGCCATCACAAACTTATTTCGGCATAGTGCTGCTAAAAGGTTGCCTACTCCTTGTGTAAGGAATACAACTAGAAACCCCTTAATGTCTGTATGTATGTCCACTGCTCTTGGCCCAAAACGTTTGCAATTCTAAATGTCCTGAGTCGATCCATCATTCTGTTTTGTTAAATTTTTGTTGTTCAGGTTGAGTGGTATATGAACGTTAAGCTGCAGAAAAGTGACGTTTTTTCCAACTTTTTTTAGGTGCTGCAGTATCCTAAGCCCTTTGTAACATTGGACGGTGTGTGGGATTGGTTGCTTTTCTGAAGAAACTAACAAGGTTATTCACTAAAGTGAGAAATTAAACATGAGTTTCACATTTAAGTAGCCAAATTGGGAAAAATTCCGTAAGGCAACTATACTTTCAGTTTGTTTACTCTGGCTTTAAATTTGATAACACAGTTTGAATTTTCATTTTGGTGAATAACCCCATAAAACTGTGTATATATGTCTGTATTGTTAACGTTTCTTGTATGTATATTTTTCATCAGAGCTACCCTACAATGATTACTTTGAATATTTTGGACCAGACTTTAAACTGCATATAAGTCCTTCCAATATGACAAACCAAAATACACCGGAGTATATGGAGAAAATAAAGTAAGTAAAAAAAAAAAAACTTTGCTACCTTTAATTCCTTCCATTGATAATGAAAATGAATGCATTGTATGTGCAGACGTATGCTCTGCCTTATTTAGTGTAGATTTTACTTTCTATTATTGTTTTATAACTGTTTGATGTCAGAAAATTTAAATGTATGCTTGACATGGAAAAATAATTTTAATTTCTAAAACAAATTCTTATTGGGTAAACCTCATGTAAGGAAAAATTTTAAAGTATCTGTTGAAAAATGAAATATTTACATATGTGTAACCTCAAGTAGTGGTTGTAGTGAGGTGTGCGCACATTTTCTTTTACTTTTTATTTTTATCACTTGCTTTTAGCTGATCTGTGGAAGCTCAGGTGCTAGAGGTACAGCCACAAAATATGCAAAGGCTCCCAAAGATGACAGACACTTTAATTTAAAATGTGTGTATGATTTAAAATGTTAATTCTGTATGATGGGTATACAAACTATTCTGGGGTTGCAGGGTAAGGTAGCTTTTACATACCTGATGCTGTCCATCCTGAGATCCTCTTCAGCTCCTGGTGCTTTATCTGCAGGAGCCCACATCAATACTGAACTCTTGCTCATGTACACTGATGCAAAAGCCTCTTTAGAAAATGCCCTTTTCCTCACACCCATAACTAGTGATGGCCGGGTGAATTGACAAAACTTGTCTAGACCCACGTTTTGTAAGGAAAATACATAAGACCAAATCCGTACATATATTTTGACTGCATTGGAATTTCAGTAAAATTCCAAAATATCCAATGTATTTTCATAATTTTTTAATTTAATTTAATTTATTTTTTGGGGAGGTGTGTGACAAGTCCACTTTAAAGTAGTATCGCTTTAAAATTTGCCAAAGTCAAACTCCTTGCTTCACTGCACACCAAGGACACCACTTCCTTACAGTAAGCAACTAGGAGGAGACCTTTATTTTTAATGGGTGTGTTTGACACAAAAGGCTGAAATTGCAGATGCAGTGTTAACATTTTTTTTTTTTTTAAATGTATTTCTATGGTATTTATTTTTGTATGAGAAAGCTCTATAAAAAAAGTAAGTTTGATCATAATTCCACAACTTGAGGTTAATGTTGTTTTTGTTTGTTCCTCTTTAGGCAGCGTTTATTTGAGAACTTACGCATGCTGCCACATGCACCTGGTGTACAGATGCAAGCTATTCCAGAAGATGCCATTCAGGAGGACAGTGGTGATGAAGAAGGAGAGGACCCAGATAAACGCATTTCTAGTAATGAATCTGTCGAAACAATGTTTTAAACCAAACCACAGTAGAGCTGTAAATTAGCTGATCGGGCTGTGAACTTGATTTTGAAGTTTTGTGAAATATGCAATGTAAGGTATTGCATGTGTTGTACAATAAAACTGCTTTCCATGACTGTATGAAATTGTAAAACACACAACACAAAGGGGCAGACTTATCAAATCAAAGCAGTGGCTTTTGATAGGATATTCTATTCATTCCCATCATTGGACCTTTTCCCCACAATAGCACCTCTTAGCTTTTGATAAATCACCCTCAGATTTATCTGGGGGAGATTTACAAAACCAAAGCTATTTCTGATGTGCTAATTTGGATTCATTTATATTTATATTCAACCAATCACAAAAACAGTGCATTGTGTAAAAGGCATTTGTTGCAAATAAGTCATGGAGCTCTACAATGTAAAGTGTAGATTGCTTAAAAACCTGTTGCTCTGTTCTGTAAACATACCCTCTAATGCAGTTGATGTTTATTAAAGATGCCTGTGGAAAAAAAAAAATAGAAAATGAAAAGCCTTATAATATTGATCTTACCTGAGTGAGAAGAACCATATTTCACATCAGGGGTGCCCAAAAGATCTCCAGTTCTCCAGATGTTGTAGAACTACAACTCTTAAAATGTGTTGTCATTCTAAAATCATTCCAAAGGTATGCAAAACATCTGGGGATACAACAGGGCACCCCTGTTTTACATATTGCTTTGGCTTTCATTTCTCTAACTTTGTCAGGCCTATGAATGAGTTGTAAACATTTGGACTATGGTTAAACATTCATCCTTATTTATTTTTGCTAGTTCGTGCATCTGATAAGCGCATCGCCTGTGACGAGGAGTTTTCGGATTCTGAAGACGAAGGTGAAGGAGGAAGGCATAATGTAGCTGATCATAAAAAGAGCACAAAAAAAGCGAGACTTGAAGAAGACAAAAAGGATAATGATGACAAAAAGTCAGGTTAGTGGTATAAAGTGCATAGTTAGCTAGAAATAAATTATAACCGTTTTTTCATGTAGTAAAAGGCTGTTTAAGTGAAACTATGCTGAGAGTGTTGGGATAACCTTCTGCCAAAGCTGTCAGCCAATCACAGTGTAACATATTCATCCTCACCTTGCAACACCAATAAGGATTGCCTTGCCAACAAGTGCGGTAGTGCCATTCAGCGGCCATGCTTTAATATGTCTGACCCTGCAGCATGTTAATGGACACCGGCCGCTGCAGATCTACACCAATTAGTAACCCCACGGCATGGTCGACGTGTGCGTAACGTCACGCAAAAGACACACGCACGTTCTGGGGTCAAAGGCCAGCTACGGCCAATCGGATCCAAAAGAGGGGTATTTAAGCTCATCCCTTCAGCTCTTTGCCCTGTCGTGGTTTTCCTTAGTGATTGACAGAGTGCGTTCATGATAGTTTATTTCTGGTTATTGACTTTGGCTTCGTTTGATTTTCCCTGTATTCTGGTATCCTTGACATCTGGCTTTCCCTCATCGTCGTGTCTCTTTCTGTGTCCCTGACCTCGGCAAGTATTCTGACTATTCTCTGGTACTAAGGCCAGGTAAGACGTTACCTATTAGTCCTAAGTGTGACACAGTTCTACGTGCTGGATCAACTAGTAATCCTGACCCACAGCCAGGCTGAAAGATGAAAACTGACTTGAAGTGTAAATTTGAATTATCAAGTTGGGTCTCTGGATGCCAAACAGATCCTTTTTTGGAGGCTCTAGGCACTTTAAGCTAAATAAATAACTCTTTTGTAAAACATTTTGGATGGATCTTCACTAAGAAATGAGCTACATCAGAAATCATCTGAATTTAGATGGGCGGTAGATTTTGCCTGTTATAGAAGACAAGTTCAGTTTTAACAGTGAATTCAAAGCTGAATTTCTTCTAAGCATATGCAGTTCCTCTAAATGTTCTAATTTGAGGCAGTAATGCAATGGCTAAAGAGATTGCAACCTAATTCAAAGCTAATTAATAGATATACAAGCGAAGTGTGTTTATGCGTACAAGCATTTTGTTTATTGCTTTTGCATTAGATTGTAAGTAATAAATACAATTTATTTACTTCATAATGATGGTTTAATAAGATGTGGAAGAAACAAACCATTTACTTTTGATTTTGTCACCAGATGTCAAAGAAGAAGATAAGTCAAAGGACAATGTTATGGAGAAAATGGACACTAAAGGGTAATAACTATATATTTACTTCTATATTTTATTATTTTTTTTCTCAACTGTTTTGTCACTGTATTTCAGATACGGAGATGGCGCCTGGGTGGGGGGTGCAATGTCAGAAAAGAAAATTTGGCCTGGAAATATAAATTTATTTATTTTTCTGCCTGGGGGCAATTTTGTATTGTCTGGTCATTGTGGTATTGTTGAAGGAATACTGGATGCCTGTCCTTTTAATGTATTATAAATTTAATGCTATGCAGGTTAAGCTGAAATAAATATGAAAAGTATTCCTCTTTGTAAAATTCCTGTATTTGGTCCAAATTCCTATGATTTTTATATTCTACAAATAATTATCCCCAGTTCTGGAAGTGCTGAGCATATCCCATAAAGGTCTGCATGGTAAAGCCTTTATGGTGATTGTAGTTCTGCTGTCAGCTTTGTACTGAAAACTGTACAACCCATAATTGGCGTAATTCATTTTTTGTAGTTTTTTTTTTTTTTTAATTTTTATATTTGTAATGTAATTAGATTTTTATTTATTTTTCTTGTCTTTATAAATAACTCTAATTTCTATTTAACCCTAAATAGTGTCAAGTCGGAGCAGCCAAGTAATCCTTGAGTTATTGGTTAGCAGGAAGCGTTGATGAAAGGACTCTGCGATTCAAGACGAAAGTAGTTTTCCACCCCCACTTCCCCCTTTAAAGAAAAAGACTGCTGATTTTACCCCCTAGCACTTGGCATGGACCGTATTTATTGTAAAACGGTATTGTTTTCCTGGCAGGTCGTATTGAGTTTTCTAATAATTGAGCAAAATTTCTTATCTTTGCCATGCTTTATGTATTAGTATTTAAGATGGATGTGAGTTACTATGTTTCATGTCTTTAACTGATCAATTAAATGCCTTTTGCCATTATTTGTTTTGGGGTTTTTTTTCTGTGAATTTTTTTTTTTTTTTAATAATTCAAATTAACATTTTTTTTATTTTTTTTTAAACAAATGTTCACATCGACAGGACAATAGCTCTTCAGTATATGAGAAAAAACACAGTTGAAGTGATGGGAGCAAGTATAAATGAATTAGCTGCTTGGTGCACTTGAATCCCTAAAACAAAAGTAAATGGAAACAATTTGTGAGATCATTACACGATCTCCATTGCCATAGGGAAAAGGGAACAATGTGCCCAGTGATGCATGATGTTCAATCTGCCCTCTGTCCTAATTGCTGGGGACTTAGTTTAGCACATCTCTTCCTGTGGGAGTTAAAATGATCATACAATTTTTACAGCAAGTTTGGAAATGTATTATTCTTGAGATTTCCTTGTTCAGCGTTAGCAATTTTAAAAAATATAGCAAACTGCTAGGATTTGTGTGCCACGTAGTAATCTATCAATTCAAAAATAAATAATTGAGCCAATGTGTAAAGCAAAAGTAGAGACAAATACTTTCAGGAGTTATAAGAGGAAATAGGGGTAACTTAACCCCTTAAGGACGGTTGACGGACGAGGTCCGTCACAGAGGGGAGACCCTTAGTGACGAGTGACGGACCTCGTCCGTCACGCGGTAAAATTAACCCCCGATCGCCACTATCGCGGGGTTAATGGTGCTCCGGTCTGCCTCTGTAATAGAGGCATACCGGGAGCACCCGGTCAGGCTGCCCAGCACATGTGCTCTGTATACTTACCTATCGGCTCCCTGCACTTCCTGGTTCTGTGTGAAGTGCAGGGAGCCGGAACAGTGCTCATCCTGCCCCCTGTAGGAAAAAAAATAAAGTTAATTTAAATTCCCACCCCCCTTTATCCATTTTAATAAAAAATTAACCCCTTCCCTGCCAATTGATCACTGATTACAGTGATCAATTGGCAGGGATTACATTTTACAATGATCTGTTTTTTGGGGGTTTTTTTAACCCCTGAGGGTTAATTCATTTTTTTATTTTTTTTTAACCCTCAGGGGTTAAATTTATTTAATTAAAATATTTTAAAATTATATATTTAGCTAGCTGGGGTGGGTGGAAGTTAGTGGGGAATTGGGGGATTTGGCGTTAGGCTAACTAGGGGTTAACGTTAAAAAGTTTTAAAATAAACTTTAAAAATTAAGCTTAAAAAAAATAAAAAAACCACCCCTCTTTACCTAGTCCAAATAAAAATTAACCCCTTCCCTGCCAGTCGATCACTGCCTACAGCGATCAAATACAGATCACAGTATTATACTGTGATCTAATTTTTTTTTTAACCCCTGAGGATTAACTTTTATTTATTTTTTAACCCTCAGGGGTTCAATTTATTTAATTAATTTAAATATTTTATAACTATATATTTTGCTACCTGGGGTGGGAGTTATGGGAAAATGGGGAATTTACTGTTAGTGCTGCTTACTGCTAGTTAGGGGTTAACGGTAAAAAAAAAAAGCTTAGAAAAATGTTAAATCCGTAAAAAAGTTAAGAAAGTTTAGGAAAGTTTAAAAAAAAAATTAATAAGCAAAACAAAAGTTTAAAAACTAGATTTTAAAAGTAAAAAAGTGAAAAAAAAAAATACATTTTAAAAACGCCACTACACCTGGAACAAATTAGAGAAAAAATGATCCCACGCCAAGGTTCAAAATATGCCTTTTGAATAACCCCAGAGTGTATTCTTTAATAAATAGTATGTGTTTGTGGGGAAGTTTCAATAACCAACCGTCTAAACTACTTCAAATTGGAACATGGACACAGCGTAAAACTTCAAAGTTAGAAAAAAACTGAATGGCTGCGTCTCAAATGCGCCCCTTCAACATCCACATATACCTGGCAAAGGTACATACGGGGGTATTGCTGTACTCAGCCGACATAGCTGAGCAACATATGAAGTATTATACAGTCATAGCACACATAAGGTTTGCAAAATATGCTGCGCAAACTCACTTTGTATGTCAAAAAGGCAGAAAAAATACTTATTACCACTACACTTGGTACAAGCTAGCGGAAAAATGATCCCACGCTAAGGTTCAAAATATACCTTTTGAAATACCCTGGGGTGTCTACTTTAAGAAATGGTAGGCCTTTGTGGGGTAGTTTGAATTTAAAACCTGCGAAGATGCTTGGAAATTGCACATAGGCCCAGCGTCAAAATTCAAAGTTTGGTAAAAACGGATATGGCTTGGTCTCCTATATGGCACTGTAGCTTCACGAAATAGTGCCAAAGACATTCATATGGGGTGTCATTTTACTCAGAAGACTTAGCTGAGCATAATTTGGGGGGTTTGAACTTAGTGGCACATATGAAATATACAAAACGCCCAGCAAAAATGCAATCCATATGTAAAAAAATGCACAAAATTTTTTTTTACCACATACTTTGGCATATATTGGTGAAAAAATGGGGGCATGTTAAGGCACAATATGCACCTTATGAGATACCCTGGAGTGTCTACTTTTACAAATGGTTGACTGTTCAAAAAACCCCCACAAAGGTCTAACTGTTATAATACCCCAAATGGAAGCTAACGCTCATTAAATCCATCTCTCAAAATTCTACTGTGAATACTGAGAAGGACAGGTATCCTGTATGGCACTGTAACTTCACGAAATAGTGCCAAAGACATACAATGGGGGTGTCATTTTACTCAGCAGATGTAACTGAACACAAAATAAAACTTTGTACAGGAATAGCACACACCAACTTTACAAAATATGCACGAGAATTTCTTTGTTATAAGTTTGTGTGACAAAAACCAAAAAAAACACAAAATTTTTCTCCAATATTTAGCAGAGTTTGGCGGTGAAATGGTTACGTAGAAAGTGTCAAAACAACCTTGTGTAAATAGCCTGTGATGTCTACTTTATATAAATATATACTTATATGTGGCAATTTTGTTTTCTTTTATGGCTATTAAGCTTACAAGACAAACATACCAAATTCTAAAATCGCTCCACATTAAAAGTCTATTTTACTCCTTGTGCTTTGTGACCCGTAACTACCAAAAAAAACTTAAAATCCCAGACACATTATATATTCTGTAAATCAGAACAACTAAATTAATTTATTTTTAATTACTTTTCTTAACCTGCACTAATTATGCACACATTATTATTGCAAAAACTAAACAAAAACACAATTTTCATTTTTTTTTTACATTTTTCTGTATTTTTTTATAATAAGCATTTATATATGTGTGTGTAACATCAAATTAAAGCCCTTTCTGTCCTTTAAAAAATGATGTATAATATGTGTTGGTGCAAGAAATTAGTAAAATGCAAATTGCAGTTGAACGCAAACAGCAAAAAATGAAAAAAATGCCGTTGTCATTAAGTGAAAGACAAGCTTTTGAAGCGCTGTCCTTAAGGGGTTAATAATTCAATGAAAAAGAAAACCAAACAAAAATAAATCTCCAGATTGTATTTGTCTATGTAAGAGCAACCAATGTATATTTAGACTTAACTTTTATTATAGTAAGTTAAAATATGTCCAGCTATATGTAACAAAAGTAGTAAAAACATATAATGAAAATGGATATGTCTTCTCTGTATATTTATATATGCTGGGCTAAGGTTCCAGGTCTTGGATCTTAATGATTAGCTAATAATATTAGGGCAGGCATAGGCAACCTTCGGCACTCCAGATGTTTTGCACTACACCTTCCATGATGCTTTGCAGCCTTATGGGTGTAAGAGCATTATGGGGGATGTAGTCCACAACACCTGGAGTGCCGAAGGTTGCCTACCCCTGTATTAGGGTGAGAATAGGGGTATCTGCAGTTTCAATCACTGCAACTATATTTGCGTTAGAGCTGACACCTATAGTTAACTTATAGGTTGCAGTAGCATACTATCAGCTTTCAAATGGAGTAAAGAAATAATTGTTTTAGGTTAGAATAATTAAAGAGTAAATAATAGCCTAATCATGATAAAAGAAGAGGCTAATGTGCCTTCGAGGGCACCCCTTAACCAAAATTCTGCTCTCTCACTAAGCAGCGATCAATTCCCAAACCGCCAAAAAATTGAATTAAATTAACAGTAGAAAATCAGTCCGTGATAGGTAGCTGTAATGTCAGCTGCCGCGGCTAGATATAAGATTATGACATACTGACATCTCTGGTATGATGGTGTGCTACCTGAGACCTGGACACCCTCATTTCACCAGTTCGCTCATCAGAGGGGAACAGAGCACAGGTAAGTATCAGTGATTATAAATCCGAGGTAACTTTGGTGATTGGTTAGAGTGGATTTAAATTATCCAATAGGAGTAAAGAGGGGAGTATCTCTGCCAACATTACAAATAATATTCTGACCAATACAGATACTATTGTAGCTGTGATGGTAAATAAAAAAGTGGGAAAGAAATAAAATTTAAATTCTGATATTAATTATGAAATATATATAAAAACGAATACATATTGAAAATTTATGACATAATGTGGGGCTGAATCATACAAAGACGTATTTAATAAAAATGTAATGAAAATGTATCCAGTATGAAGTGGATTCCTCCAGATGATGAAATTGTACGTTAGTAGTCCTTTCTAATACAAATTATCCCTTTTTATATATCTCTATAGTGTAACTTTTTCACAGATCGTAAAAGGAAGATGTGAAGTATTTTAGATAGATGGGGTGGATCTGTACAATTAGGAATGTTTTTGTTGTAGTAGGAGAAACATTTTGAAATGTTTAAATCCACTAAGTGTATGTTATATTGAGTGGTATCTGATTTATGATTTAATTTAGCAAAGATTTAATTTTGCAAAAAATTTGTGAAAGAAAGATAAAACCTACTGGCAAAATGCTTAAAATGAATGGTTTTCTTTAAAGTGATAATTGTACCCCTGGGAAAAAATGAATTGCAGTTTTGGCTTCTGCATACTGATATATATGCTTTCTTTGTCACTATA